AAGAGATGAAAGTTGAATGGGTCACTTTCTACTGACAGAACTTTTACCTTATGGAGAAACCTTTATAAGGTAGTTCTGCTGTCATTCCTTTACACAAGCTCTGAAAATAGGTAAATCCTGAAAAGAAGTCTGCTGCACTTGAGAAAGTTACACATGTAGCAGGTACTTAAAATGACTGGAGTACCTACAGAATTGAATTGCCTACCAGATTCCAAGTACCTTAAGAGTGAGAGCCCTGTTTTGTTTCTGTATCCATTACATGGCAACTTTGTTTTGCTCAAAAGTTACTTTGTTAAGCTGTGAATCCTGGCTATGAGCTTGTTGAGCTCTACCATGTTAGGAAGCAGAGACTAGTTTAAATTACTTTTATTAATGGGCTTTTCTGGTAAGAATATTCAGGTAAGGCAAGGAAGACAAGAAACAGTCTCAACTGTTATACGGCCAGATTTAATGGTGATCTGGAACAACATTCGGGATATTACAGAAGTGTAAGCAGTGTCTGTTGTCTGTTTTTATTCACCATTTTATTCCCAGCACCTACGCTTGTCACATAGTAAATACTCAAGTATTAGTAATGAATGAATTTCAAATACTAAGCTCTACTGTTTCTATCAGCTCTGTTTCTTCTATATTCTCAGCTAACGGTCTGTCAACAACATGTCTTCGATTTACCTAAAGCCTTTGCTGCTTCATGGCTTCTGCTTATTCACTTTTCTTTGCGTATCTTCTTTTCGTATGCCGTTGCCTTGTGTGCATATTGTATGTCTCTCATTCAAACTCCCAAAGAGAGAAGTTCTGATTGGATAGGCAGGTTCCTGTCTAATAAGGAGTACTCTCTCAGAGCATAATGATCAGACTTCCATGGGTGCCTTTGTTCATGTGGCTTGCCCTGATCCAGTTACCTACGGTTACTAGTAAGGTCAAAGAGTATAAAGTATGGTCTTGCTCATAAGGGGAATGTGGTTATGGCAGACACTTAAAATATTCCCATAATAATAGAGTCTGATTGGTATTCAGTCATGTTTCAGGTCAGATTCTAAACTATGGGAGAATACCATAGCAGGCTAGTTTATTGTTGTATTCCCAGAACTTGGCAGAGTTTGGTACACAGTAGGCACTGGAAAAATACTGACTGAATGAAGGCTGAGGAAAGAGGAAATTCTTTGATCTTAGAGGTATTAGGGGCCCAATGGGAGGGCAAACACACTTGAGCAACTCTTATCCTCTAAGTGAATCATTGTAGTCAGTGGCAAGCCACATGAGGCTTCTAATTAGAGAAAGCTCACATCCAAAAAGACCATCCTACTTTGCTTTTGCATTATGTTGGAAAGCAATGAGTAATACAGAACTTCTAAATAATAAGTAGGTTTTGTCATTACAGTGAGAAAGTGGCCTTAATACTATAAATCCCAGAGTTTTTCTTTTTTCCCTCCATGGAATTATCACCATCCTAAAAGTCATAGCAATCTTTTAAAAGAAGAACCATTCCTGGGATTTTTTTGAAAGGGCTGGAACATATTGGCATGTTTAAATTGAGCTGGAAATCGAACTGGGAAATTTTCCAGATTAAAAAACAAACAAACAAACAGACATTTCTATGTATAATTCTTTGATTTTTCACTTCCCTCTTTCTGCCATCACAGATTCAGTCACTGCCACCACCACCATCAATGACAAGGGTGGGTTCTTTCTCACTGCCAACTATTTTTGACTCAGTATAAGATTTAGAGTTGAGAATTTTGCTTGGCTTTATTATGGAGGTCAGGCTAAAGTTCCTTGTGGCTCCACCTGTGGGTCTTAACCATTTAATTAGTTTATCGATACCATTCTGCTTTGCTCATATCAGGGTCTTAGTAAACGCTATTGACTTAAATTATAAATGAATTAGTAAGGCCAATTTAACATGATTTAGTTTCATTGTCACAGATATCACTCTGCAACTGAGAAAGCTATCTAACTAGATGTTTGCCATCTTGACTCCAGCAGAATAAGGAAAGTACATGGGGATAATATAGAGGATTCACACAAATTCATAACTATAACTGGAAAATATTAGACAGTTGGTTTTTTCTATAATAGTAAATTTGGATTCTTTGTTGGTTGAGTGTGGGTGTTAGAATCACACAGACTTGGGTTAGAACCTTGGCTCTGCCACTTAACAATGTGACTTTAGGCAAGTTACTTAAACCTTTATCTAAGCCTTAGAACCCCGTCTGTAAAGCGGAGGGAACAGGGACACCTGTTTGTTTCATGGTGGGTAGTAATAGTGTTTAAATGAAATCATGGTTTGGAAGCTCTTGCCACAGGGCCTGGCATGAAGTAAGTACTCAGTAACTTTAGCTGCGTTGGTTATTATTGCGGTTATTGTTAAGAGTGTTGTTTCGGAAAATTTAATTATTTTTGACAACATTAGATGGTATCAGATAATTCGATATAAATGGACTAAGTCTTTTTTTCCTAATAATAGAAACTCAGCAATATAATTTTTTTAAGTGACACAGTTTGGTACTCCAATAATTAGGAGAGGAAGAGATACACTTTGTAATGTACAAACTGACCACTCACAGGTTCTGTTTCTCTATGCAGAGGTAAAGAAGAGCATCTTGAAATGTAAGTTCAAGATCTTTTCTGCTAAATAATTTCTGAAATTCATTAAGACGTTTTTAGGGAGGTATTCGATAGATCATACTTGTAAAAAACTGACTATCTTTTTGTGGAGGAATTTCTGGTGATAATGACTGTTTAAAAAGTTTTACAAACATTATGAAAAGCTCCTGATGAAGCGAACTGATATCTGACAGGCACTGACACATTCTCTGATTACTCTCTTGTGGTCATGTAGGTGAGACAGGCATTGGCAAATCCACGTTAATGGACACTTTATTCAACACCAAATTTGAAAGTGACCCAGCTACTCACAATGAACCAGGTGTCCGGTTAAAAGCCAGAAGTTACGAGCTTCAGGAAAGCAATGTCCGGCTGAAATTAACCATCGTCGACACTGTGGGATTTGGAGACCAGATAAATAAAGATGACAGGTATATCTTGGGATTTTGAGGGGATATAAATGGATGAAGAGATAACGGGACCCATCCCAGGTAAATTCAAAGGCTAAATGTTCACTGGTTATGGGGCTTGATCCAACTCTACCACCCAATTTTCTTGAGGTCAGAATCAGCTGGTGTAATTGATTTTAGCTAGTGAGCAGAAAAGGGATTTGTTAGAAGGAATAAGCTAACTTAACAGCATTTTTCAAGGAGGGCCATGGAACCAGGTTTGGGGCCTTTCCCAACAGTAAAATCAATCTAGAGAAACATACGACCACCTAACAGAACAGTTAGCAGAAGCCCCTGCCACCAACCACCTTACATAGTTCTGGTACCCATGACCCTGGGGGCAGGTCTCTAGAACCTCCACCACAACTGTCCCAGGTAACCAGATGCTTTCACCATTGCTTACAAGAGGAGCCCTTCTCCCTGTGTGGCTTCTGCCTTGTGTTGCTCCTAAAACCTCAAAATGAAGAAAATGTTTTTTATGAAAGCTCTTGGAAAAATCTTAGTAATTCCTGGCTGACTCTTTTAAATGTTACATTCATTCTTAAAAGAAGTTTGAGAACCTTAAAAAATAAAATTGTCCCAGTCCTAAAGATGATCCCAGAAGGGGGCTTCCAAAGACATTTTGGAGCAATGACAGCATTATGAGAATAAAACACCAATGCAATAAATTGTGGTATTTTTGTTCAGGGCTCAGAAACTTCAGTAGCATCAGGGTTTTTGTTTAATTGTTTGTTTTTTCATTTTCCTCAAAACTGTATATTATATGCACGTGTTTCAAAAAGAGAAACTTGAACTATTTTTATCTAGAAATGTGTACTGTCTAGATATATTTTAACTATCTCTGATATATATGAGCACCATAGTAATGACAGAGAAATACTTAGTTCATTATGTAGCTGAGCACTGAGCTCTGTTTTATCTATAGAGCAATTTAAATGCTTATTAATAAACATTGCCCTGTAATAACAGGAGCAATTGTTAGATATAGTGAGAAAGATTTTATTTTGCATCTGGTCAAAATGGACTATCTGTACATTGTGTTGGGGTGGGGGACAGCTGAGCTCAGACCCTGCAGCTGAGCAGTTGCTTTTAATTTATGACCTCAATGCCAAGGCATGATGGAGAGGTTACTGCCTGAAGGCTATTTGTAATGCCAAGTGGAGTGGATGAAGAGAAAACCCTGGCAACAAGAAAAAGCGTAGGTGCATTGTGGGAGCCTGGGAGAAAGCTGGGGGCTCCCGGTCATTGCGTGATCACAAGGCGTATATCTCCAGCTCTCCAACCTGCATGGGTTTCTCCCTGGAGTTAGAGAATGCCATGCTGTATACTCACTGATTAGAAGGCTGCAACTGGACCTTTTCAGGATTTCTTCCTGCAGGAATGAGAACCATCTTTCACATTCTTGCCGCTAAGATTCCTTGTGCTGTTTTAGCTCAGAGTCATCATTGCCTCAGCACTGCCACTGAGTTTTTGCCTTTCCCCTACACAGGGGCTAGCCCTCAGGCTGGTGGGTTTGCACTCGCCTGCGCCTGAACAGCAAGTAGCAAGTACAATGCTGATCCTCATAATTGCATCTGGAGGCCTCTTTAAAAAATTATCTGACTCATTTGGGTCAAATAATAGTTTCCAAGGAGATTTAGAAGAGAGGAAGTGTGATATTAACCTAACCTAGATACCACATATTTTTTTTCTTCTGAAATTTCTTGACAGCTGTTGCATAATCTCTTTAAATGGCATTTAGAACTATGTGCCCCAGAAGGCAGTGGTGACACTATTGACTGTAAACCTAAATGACTAGACTATTGTTTAAAATAGTTAGTTATTCAGATAGGCCCTGCATCCATCAAAAAATTGGAAGTGGGATGTGCATTTTTGCATTGATGTGTAACCATATGGGAAAGGATGTACTGTTTCTCTAAACCCGTGATTATTTTACTACTTTGGGGATTAGGCAAGCTTTTCTGCCATCGATGCAAGACTTCAAGAATGTCCCAGTTTGTTTATCTAGGCTTCGGATGTCAGCCTTTTTTTGCATCATTATCCGCCTGGGACCAGGCTAGATAGAAGGAGGCAGGAAGAGAGATCTGGTAAGGTTTTCTGTTATGTTTAATAGCATGATAACCTCTTCATGGTGTAAGGGCTTCCTCGTTTTGCTGTCTATACTTTTCAGTGAGGAAGGAAAGGGATCTGGAGAAGAAGGGAAATCCAGTTTCACTGCAGAACTAGAAATTGAATAATTAGCCCTACATTTGGGAGATGAGTGTTAGACTGTTAGTGACAAATCAGTAGCTAATATGATAATCAGCCCTGAAACGCATGGATGATTGAAATCCACTGAGGGAGAATCCTCACAATCACCAAACACATCTTCATCAGAGTTATAAAATGGAATCGAAGTGGGCTGTTTTTCTTTAAATTATAAGGGTTTTCGTTCGTTTGTTTGTTTGTTTTTTACACTATCTAGTATAGGTAGTTGAGGGATAAAGAAAATTGACTTTGGCTAATAACGGCCATATAGAGAAAAATACATGGTAGGCATCTGGTTATATATAAAACGGAGAATCCTTTTATATGATGGCATTGGCTGTTTTGCAAGAATAATCAGTGGGTAGTTTGGTTAGATAGAAAACATTGCGTAAAATATTTTTTCCATCATTTTTAGGTCAACCTATGTCATTTAGTGTGTGTGTGTGTTTATGGCTGGAGGTATATGAATGAGTCGTGGGTAAAAGAGAATATCCTTATGCCTTAAAAGGAAATAATATTAAAATGTAAGGTCTGGTTATGATCCCCACTCCTGCTGTTTTCTATTGGTTTATATGGCTACAATCCAGAGAAGTTTGAATTTGCCGAACAGAATATAAATGGTGTCCTTTTATATTCTGAATAGAAAAGGTGTCCTTTTCTATAAGAATAGAAACAAGCAAAAGACAAAATAGGGATTAAACACCCTTATCTTTTTGACTGGGAATGTAGATAACAAGTGGAAAGCAGTAGGAGAGAGAAGGGCAGAGAATTTGTTTAAAAGATTGTGAAAGTGAGTACAAAGCCACTTAGTTGGCTGGCTCGTTATGCATCAGAAGGAAACTTTCATCAACATAATTAAATCTTCGACATAGGCAACAGTGATTTTGGTAAAGGGTTTCCCTGGAATACGTTTTTTTATTAGTTTATAATGATACACAAAATGGATGAGATTTCATGTGTGGAAGGTAGGAGGAGAGGTTTCTGGGTTGAATCTCAGTTTCTGATTTGGCCAGCAGTGTGGCTGGAGATGCCATTCACTGTGCTGAAGAATATGGGGAAGTAAATGTGGGTTTAGGGGCAAGATGAAGAATTTGATTTTGGACACATTTAATTAGAAGAACAAATGGAAATATCTGATAAGCAGTAAGGTGGATGGGTCTGAAGCTCAGGTGAAGGATCTGGGCTGGAAGTAGAGATTTGTGAGTTATCATCATCAGGTAGAGATGGCAAGTAAAACACAGGAATAAATACGATTTTCCAGGGAGACCACATAGACTGGAAAGAAGGAGATCAAAAGATTGGCCAGGACTCCCTCACAGGAAGGCAGTAGGGGGCCAAGATATGAGAACAGTAGGTTTCTTTGGATATGTTGAATCCAGGGGAGAAAGCATTCCTCACCTCCCATAATCTTCGAGGATCATAATCAAAACCAGAGGCTAAAAGTGACGTTAATACAAAGCAGAACATACATGGACTACTATCGGTGGGGGGAGGTGCTGAGAAACTGAAAATCAAGAACTGGGAAGGCAGAAAAGCTATGAGCTGCTTTTCCTCTTTTGGGGGCTAAGAGAGTTCTGGGGGAGGACCTCGATTCCCCTCCCCCATGCATGCCTTGGTATCATACATGCCTTAGTGTCAAGGACTAAGAGTAGGCCCTGGACTGACAGGGCATGGGGGACTTCATTGGAGGGGCCCGGTACACTTCCCTAGTGGGTGTGTACTCAGCAGCAGAACAGTTACCAACAATCCTGATGAGGGTAAGTTCTCCCCCTTTTTTCCCTTGTCTTTTAAAAACAGTCGGACTTGCTTTTCTCTTATTTGTTATTGATTGTATGATTTTTGTTTGCTGCTGTGTAATAGTTATATAGTACTTTTATATGCTAGTCCTTTACATATATTAGCTCAATTATTTGTTACAATAGCTCTGTTTTTGTCCCTGATTTACCTATGAGGAAACAGAGGCAGAGAGATTTAATAATTTGTCCAAAGTTCACAGCTCGTATGTTGTAGAGTTAGATTTTGGTCTTAGGTGTTCTAGCTTAAATCTATACTTCTAACCACCATCCTATATAACTATTCTTTAATAATAATGATTATTACTATTGTTATAAAGTACCTGCCTATATTTTAAAATTTGAAAACAAAAATCTTATCAGTTGCTCATCCTTTCATTGGAATTTTGCTTGTTGTGATTTAGAACTTTATTATTGCTGAGGCATATTGTACTTTTTCTTTAAACCTCTAGAGATTTTGTCTGCTTAAAGTGAATCAGTGGTTTGTCATAAATTACCAAGGAAAAATATCAAAAAGCTTTTTATCTGACAGCTTTGGTTTTCGTCATAAATTTCTTTTTAGTTTTATTTTTATTTTGGTTTTTTGTTTGTTTTTTTCTCTTAAAGTGTCTGCTGTCATCTTCATTATAAAAGATTTGCAGTTCCCTTTCAAGAATTTTAGTTAATTTATGGGCCTGGGAGTTGAGTATTAGAAGACTTTTATTTTTCATAAAGCTTAAATCATTCCTCAGCAAGGCAATTAGTTTGGGGAGAATTAACCCATTATATTCCTAATAGACCAATCTCATTGCTGCTGGCACTGACTTCTGAACTGTCCCCTTGGAAACCTGAGAGAGCTCATGGCTTTTCCATAGTGACCTAATGTGTGCTACTTAATCTCTGAAGAACATATGGTTTATTGAATGTAAATTCCCAATATGCTGTTAATGATTGTGTTTATGGTCAGTTAATAGAATCATACATGATTATCTAAAACATTTGAATTATGATTTGGTAAGAAGAGAGAGTTATAAAGTTTACCTTCAAATTATAACATTTTAGAGTTGGAAAAAATCTTGACGATCATAATGGTCCAGGCACTTCAGTTTATAGCTGAAGTTATGGAATGTTCACAGGGTTTTGTGAGAGCACAGAGAACCCCTCATCTCTCTGGAGGAATGGGGCCAAGGACAAGGGAAGAGCTCCCAGCAGGAAGTGGTGCTGTATCTTGAACTCACAAAACAGTTTTATTTCGTGCACTAATGCCAGTCAGTTGGTAGAGGCTGTCAGAATCACTTTGTTGGGACAGATTTTGAGGCTCAGTTTTGGTCCAACAGGAAAGAATGCCACAATCTTCTAACAATATCTTCGCGGATGCCATGGGGGATGTGACAGCGTGCTCCGTATGGTTATGATCTCTGTCTTAAAGCCTTACTGTCAGCCAAGGGAATAATAGGAAGACCTTGTAGAGGGGCTCGCATGAGCAAAGGCGTGGAGGCAGGGCTCGTTGTGCATGGCTGGGAGAGAAAGGGAGGGTAATCTGGGTGGGGTGGGGGAGCGGGAGAGAGGAGCCTGGAGAACATTCTGGGACCGGGAGATGGAAGGCCTGGGATGGCAAGGCGTTGGAGCTTTAGCTCTTAGGGAAGAGGGAACAAGTGAAGACTTTACTGGAGGACAGTGCCACGCTGAACTGCCAAAGAGCTTTGTGACTAGAAGCATGCTGACTTGAACATGTATTTTAGAAAACGTTCTTCTGCATTCTAGCTATAAGCCGATAGTGGAATATATCGATGCTCAGTTTGAGGCCTACTTGCAAGAGGAATTGAAGATCAAGCGTTCTCTCTTCAACTACCACGACACCAGGATCCACGCGTGCCTCTACTTCATTGCCCCTACTGGACATTCACTGAAGTCCCTGGACCTGGTCACCATGAAAAAGCTGGACAGTAAGGTACTCACTGCCACTCTCCTTTTAGATCCCTGTTATGCAAAGGCCTCAATTTATTCTCTGCTTACAATGTAATTTGTTTTTTTTGTTTTGTTTTAAAGACTATATTTTAGAGTAGTATTAGAGTCAAGCTAAATTAAGAGGAAGATACAGAAATGTCCTATCTAGCCCTACCCCCATGCGTTACCAACACAGCCTCCCCCATTACCAGCATCCTCCACCAGAGGGTGGCACGATTATTATAATTGATAAACCTACAGTGATACATTATAACCACCCAAAGTCCATAGTTTACATTAGGGCTCATTCTTGCTGTTGTTATTCTGTGGATTTGAACAAATGTGTGATGATATGTAGCTATCTGACAGAGTAGTTTCACCGTCCTAAAAATTTTCCCTGCTCTGCCTATTTGTCTCTCTACCCCTCCCCACAACCCTGTAATTTGTGTTTTCTGAGTCACAGAACTGTGGGGGTTAGCACTGTGAAAAAAACGCTTCTAAACCTAACCTCTTTGAATATTAAGAGAAAACAAAACTATGTAACTTTGTTACAAAGTATTTTTATTTCTTGAGTTAGCATCAGTGTATGCTCTGATGAAAGTTGGGGAATTTTATAGTGGACATACCGAAATGGCCATAGGAAGGGTTAAATTTAGGGAGATCAAAAAATAAATTCATGATTTGTTTTATTTTATTAAAAACTTTCTCTAAATCTCTTAAAAGGTTTGTCTTTAATTCGATAAGGATGGTCCAGCTGCTCAGATTTTAAAACTGAACTGTACCCAGGTGTTCAAAAGAAGGAAGATCTTAGTTTCAGTTTGATCTTTCCGCATTGATAACTCCTCTCTTTCACAGAATTTGAAGGAAAAGACCGAGGAGTTTTGATAACATTAGCTGATCTACTTTACAATTAATTTGATTTTCCATTTTGAGATAAGCGGAAGATAATACATTCTGAAATAGAGCAGCGGCAAATGGCAACGAGAACCACCACGAAACAAAGCTATGGTATTTTCTCCTAGATTCTAACCTCCTTTCAAGTTCAATAAAAAAAATCTTGTCATCCTCGGAGGGCTTTGTTGGATGGTATTTTTTGTCTATACAACACTGTTTAAAAGATGCTTTCTCTCCAGGGGGACATAATAATGAGAGAAGGCTGAGAAGATCGCCTGTCCCCAAGGTCTCTGTCTGAACTGGCCCACAAGGGGCCTGCAGCAGCCGAAGCTGGGCCAGGCTCCTCTTGTTTTACAGAAAAATATTCTAACAGCCTGAAAGGATTATTGCAGCTAGAGTGCTGCTGGGAGAATAAATAGAAACCTTTCTTCATCTCGTCTGATTCAGCTGCAGTTAGCCATCCATGGTGGTGGTGGTGGTGGGGTCCTGGGCGGTGAGGCCTATTCTCTGTGCTGTCATGTCCTTGAAAGCGGGGCTGGGGAAGTCTGGCGAGGGAGTTGGCACCTTCACTGAGGCCTAGTGTATAGACCAGCCAGGCTAATATCCAACACAGGATTATGTTTAGTACAGTTGATTTAAAAAGGAAAAGAAAATAAGGCAAAAAAACCCCCACATAGTTTAAAAAAAAAAAAAGTCATCACAAAGCAGGTTAAACCAGTGGTCCTCAACATTTTGGCACCAGGGACTGGTGCTTCTGTAAGAATCTAATGCCTGATGATCTGAGGTGGAGCTGAGGCAGTGACGCTAGCACTGGGGAGCGGCTGCAATTACAGATGAAGCTTCGCTGGCCTGCCAGCTGCTGCTCGCTTCCTGTTGTGTGGCCCCATTCCTAATAGGCTGTGGACCCATACTGGTCTGTGGCCGGGGGTTGAGGACCCCTGGGTTAAACTGCTTTAAATGGATTGATATGTTGTAGAATTAGTGTTAGGTGGCATCTGAACACAGTATTGTCAAAGGTTTGTTTACGTAAGTGAAGTGAAGGGTTATGCAAAATATATGATGATTTCAGAAAAGATTTGCAAGTACCTGCCGCTGAGTTAAAAAGAGACTTTAAATTGTCTGGTCTGTTTGTCTACTCTGATCAAGTTGGCCAAGAAACTATGACGCTCTGCCATTTTGTCTGTGTGGATATTAACTGAATGCTGAATGTATACAAGAGATAGCCAAGATGAACACCTGGGAAGTCTTTCGTTCATCAGGTCCCAAGCCTAACGTTTTCCCCCACCGACAGCGATGTGTTTTCAGCCTGCCACTTGCTGGAGGAAACCTAAGTATGATGAGATTAGGAGTCAGTCAGGAATAAGTTTTTCTGTGAGCACGTCATCTCTTGCTGGTTTATCCGGGATTTTTGATTTGGCTCTTGGGATAAAAGGAGAAGCAAAGGAATGCAGACATGACCTGGAAAGCCTCCCTAAAGTCTCTTCTCTGGCTAGGCCTGCTTTCTCACTGAGTCATTCCCTTTTCACCTGAGCTAAGTGGAGAGCATGACCCCAGGTATCGGATGTCAGCAGCATCTTACTGAAACCTCTGTACCTGTCAGGGAGCGGACGAAAGTTAATCTTAAAAAGGAATTTTTAAAAGTGTGTCCTGCGGACCATGCTGACAGAAGCTAGGAGAAGAATACCCCCAACTTGGGGTCTGGGGCTTGTGCTTGAGGACATCCTTGGCTCTCGTTCTGGCCTTTCTGCGATGGTTATCAAACTCTGAGTGCTCCCTGGTCTTTGTAACCAATGCTCTGAAAGTGAGCTTACCTTTGGCACTAGGTCTCATTCTGGCGTGAAGGAGTAATGTGATAGAAGCTGACTTTCAAAAGAATTAGTTGATGTGATTTTGAAAAATTTAGAGGTAGGTGAAACTTTTTGTTTTGGTGAATACTTAGGTTCTCCACTTCTAGCAATTTTCAGATTATCAGAAAAAGAAAGGTTGTTATCCTGCGTAGAGCTGAATATTCCGCTATTGTAACTAACAAAAACTTTGTTATTACAATGTTAGGAGCATGCTAAAATCAAGTTCTGAAGTAGCTGGGAGGGGCCTAAAAGGAGTGGTTGGTTATTCAAAGAATAGGCATCTTTGTTATGGCTATTTGTCAAAGGGGAACACTTCCTTTTACTCTGTAAAGAAGAATGAGGTAGCACAGGAGAGGAAATTACGATTATGCTTTCAGTGCCAGATGGGAGGAAGTAAAAGTGTTCACAGATGAAACTGAAAGATTGTCCTATGTCTCCTTAATAATGCATCTAGGTAGAAAGTCCTATTTTTAGTACCATCTCTGTTTTAACTGAAGTTTTACAATTTTTATTAGTCTTTTGCTACTTTTTATTCATGTAATTTTTTTAATGTCAGAATTATGTAAAAGTGGATTTGTTTGTTTTATAGGTGAACATCATTCCAATAATTGCAAAAGCTGACACTATCGCCAAGAACGAATTGCACAAATTCAAGAGTAAGATCATGAGCGAACTAGTCAGCAATGGAGTCCAGATATATCAGTTCCCCACAGATGAAGAAACGGTGGCAGAGATTAATGCAACAATGAGTGTAAGTCCTCAAGTAAGAAAGGATCAACCAGTGATTTTCCTGAAAACTTTTCTTAGTAGCAGTACTGTAAAGCGGCTAGAACACTGGACTGGAAATCTGACATTTTCAGTGTGGTCCAGTTCTGCCACTATTTCAAGGCATTTAACCCCCATGCTCCTCAGTTTTCCTGTCTTTCAGATGGGAGAGTTAGACAAGATGGTGTCAGATTTCCTTCCCACTCTAACAGTTATGATTTCTACAGCAAATCTTGTGGGAATGGAATGCCAGCCCAGCGCTTTTTCACACAGTGCAGCTCAAAGGAAATAGATCTCTGCTTCTGCCAGTGTTGGCAGAAATATGTCCACCTGCCTCACTTTTTGTGATCGGATTCTGCCTTTCCCTCCTTTTCTATTTCCCCACCCTTTCCTGAATCATTAGGTAAACTGGCAATTGAAGGTAAAACTTCCACAGTGCACAGAGGAACTGATCAGGAGATAAATGATTAAAGCTTCAGCACTATCAGCATGCCTGTGACGGAGGCTCTCCTGGTGCACCTCTGTCCTGCCAGTTGGTAGCCAAATTGTCCCCACTGCTCCCTTTTGTATCTCAGAGGCATGGCTCATCTCTGAGGCCACAGTGATGATACACATCTTTTTTCATTTGAGAATGCATAACTTCTATAAAAGTAGCATTCTTTGTAACATAGTTGGTGCCTAGTGATTATTTTTAAAATTCTTAAAATTGTGAGCTCCAGTGAAATGTAATTATGTTATTAAATAGCTTCTTGGCCTTACCTGAATACATGCTAAAAATGGATTCAGAACTGTGCTAGTGGCAGTGGAAGTCAGTTTAGATTTTTTAAATTTGTGGTAGATTGATGTATGCTCTGCTATCATTAGAAGATCCAGTCACGAAAAGTTATGTCTGATTAAGTCATTGTCGAATGCTCTAGTGACACTTAAAAAATTAACAGCTTTCTCGAGATATTATTGATATACTGTACAATTCAGTGGTTTCTCATATATTCACAAAGTTGAATAACTATTGCCACAATCCATTTTGGAACATTTTCATCACCCTAAAAGAAACCATGTACCTTTTAGCTGTCAATTCTCTGACCATCCCAGCTTTAGGCAATCACTAATCTACTTTTTCGTTTCTAGATTTGCCGGTTCTGGACATTTCATATAAAGGGAGTCATACTGAGGTTCATCTAGAGAATTAAATGACTTGGTCAAAGCCATCTAGTTAATAGCAGCACCGAGGTTTCAACCGAACCCACCTGGTCCCCATTCTGCATTGTTTGCCATCATAATTTAGGAGATCAGTGTTACTCCACAAAACTGCTTCTTGTTTCTGCAGTTCAGCATATGGACTTTGCTAGATAGGGCTGTCTTCATTTAGGGAAGATTTCTTCCTTAAATTAATCTCAGTATGATTAGAAATTTGGAAGCAAATATAACTTTCCCCCTCTCTGGGGCTGTGATTTTATGAATTTAAAATTTAGAGATCTCATTAGTGCAGAGATAGTCCAGCTCCGCTCTGCTCTAGTCTGGTCACACTCTGAGTCGGGTGACTCATTCTGGCTGTCATCCTCCTGTGGCCGGGATAGTAAAGGCTCTGGAAGAAACTGGAGAGCAGATTCTTCCTGGGAAATAGTCATGAGAGGGTGTGAAAGGAAGGTTGCCATAAGGAGGAGTGATGGGACTTATTCAAAAGACAGAACCAAAACTAATGGGCAAAAGAGCAGGGAGGGGTTGTGTGTGGCCCAGTATGAAGCGTGACTGTCCACACCACCACAACGCAGCAAACACCTTACCGAAGTAGTGAGTTCTTATCGTAAGTGATAGGTGGACAACAGATTGTGTTTCAACTCAGATACATGGAGAGAAATTCCTATGCATGATTGAACTGAATGATAAATGTAAGGTCTATCCTACCTCTAAAATTCTCTGGTTCTGGGTATTGAGAACTTCATAATAATAGTAGCAGCTGACATTTTTGACATTTATGGAGCATTTACTATGCACCAGGCACTGTGTGAGGCTTTATATTTAATCTTCACAACAATCCCACAGGAAGTACTATTACTTCTACCTCATGTATGAGGAAACTGCAGCCTGGCACCTAAGATTGCGCAACTGTCAGTAGCAGAAGTAGGATTTGAACCCAGGCAGGTTGGCCCTAATAGCTGATACCCTTGCCCTTTATGCTAACTGCTACCTAAGCAGAGCAGTTTACACCGTTGTCAAAGGCTCAGGCTCATATGGCATTTATTTTTCCGCCGTGGAACTGCAAGTTGGGTGTCAGTGTGGGATTCAGGAATTAACACGAGTGAATATCATCTCATTTTCTCTTTTTGTCCCTCCACATCCTTTTAAGTCATTTCGCATGGTCATGAAACTAAATTTGTGTTAAAATTCTCGGAAAGAAAATACCCATGAACCTTTGCTCTCTTTCTCACTTTATCAGATTAATAAAACTGAAGATCTTTGACATTCTCAAATCGACCTTGCTCTTTATCAAGAAATTTTCTTTTAGGCTCTTCATTGCACCCAGTTCCTGGTGATGAAATTCTATATGATATGTGGAAAACAGACTTCGTTGGTGGATGTTTTTAACACCCAGTTTGAGTGGAGAAAGCAGTTTCCTTGGTTGTTATACCAAAAGTTTGGCTGGAAGGGCCCTGTTGCTCTTCAGCTTCAGGGAACAGACTGGGAGTTTGAGAAAGAGATGTGCTTTCTTTCCTTCCTATGGCGTATGAGACGAACTAGAAAATGTAAATATCTCAAGCAGCAAAGTACCACTCGGGCAGCTGGGGCTGGGGTTACGTCAAGCTGTCTGTGGGAGAGGATTTACCTTTAAAACAGTCTCATCTTTCTCACTTTATCTGTAGTAGAAGATCAGGGAACCCTAAATAATAATTCTCAGAGCAGACATTTCAAATCTTCTCTGCTAATAGAAAAAAGATGGAATTACTACACCTCCCCGCAGAATGCAGCCATAGCTAACCAACATGCAGTCCGTTGTCTTGAATACCATCTCTGCTTGAGATAAGCCTGGATGCAAGCCTTGGGCCAATAATTTGGACTACAGTGTATTTCCGACTGAAATTTTGTGAAATGATCAACTGTCTAAAGCAGTGCTATTAAATAGAAATATAATATGAGCCACACAAGTAATTCAAAATTGAAGACATGAAATGAATTTTAAGAACTTAATTAGCTCCGTATATCCAACATATTATCATTGTAACATATAATCAATATAAAAATTGTAATGAGATATATTCATAGTAAGTCTGAAATCCAATATGTATTTCGCAGTTATAGCACATCCCAACTTGGATGCATACCAGTTGCTCCTAACATAATTGAAAATTTTTCAATATAAAATAAGTACCAAAAAGATAATATTTGCATCTACATTGACAAAACTGGTTCTTCTCTTTTAGAAGATCTGTGTTTGAAGTGAAGTAAAATTTAGATTCTTGATCCCACAAACCCCATATCAAGTTCTCAAGAGCCGTATATCTTAATGGCTACTGTATGGGACAGCTTGCATCTGAAGCTTACTATATAGTTGTAAAGGCCCATACAGCTTCCCCCTGAATGTAGCTTATATCACATATTCAGAATTTGGTTGTGGGAGGGCTAGGATACACGAAGACCACCCTACAGGACTGCGGACTTCCACCTTTTACCCTCCTCATTTCTCTTGTCACTAAGTAGAGGCCTGCAGAAGGGAGGAGAAGTAGATGGAGAACCAGTCTTTGCTGGAGCTAGGGAAGAGAACTGTGGCAGGGCCTCAAATAATTTTGTTTTGTTCAATGTCATTTCCTTATAACATTGATGAGGAAAAAAATTTCCAGCCAGGGCCACTGTCTGTGTGGAGTTTGCACGTTCTTCCCATCACTGTGTGGTTTTTCTCCGGGGACTCTGGTTTTCCCACATCCCAAAGATGTGCACGTTAGGTGAATTGGTATGTCTGCATTGTCCCAGTCTGAGTGTGGGTGTGTGCGAGTGTGCCCAGCAGTGGAAGGGCATCCTTTCCAGGGTGGGGTCCCACCTCGCTCTCCGAGCTGCCCGGATGGGCTCCGGCCACCCCCGAATAAGCGGGTTAGAAAATCATGATCTTTCTTGTTTTTTGTTAATCTTTCTTAAATGTATGTATAGCTCACATGTATTTCCATGTTTAATTTTAGAAGTGTTTTGGGTCTTTAAAAGTGTGGTGATGTTTTCATAACCAAAAATATGCCACAGGAACTTAACTCTTATTTATATCAGTTAGACTGTAGTGAAATGATTTTGTTATACAGTTGTTTCACTTATAAGTTGCAGTTCCCAAGAACCTATCAATGATGTTAAGTGAGGATTTACTGTACCCTCTGCCCTTGTGTTGCTTGGCAGGTCCATTTGCCATTTGCAGTGGTCGGCAGCACTGAAGAAGTGAAGATCGGCAACAAGATGGCCAAGGCCAGGCAGTACCCCTGGGGTGTGGTGCAGGGTATGTGTGCATCATTGGGGAGGGATTCTTCATGTTCAGCCACTGAGGTGGCCAACCGCGTTTCTTCCCTCCGTGTCATGTTCGGAGAGGTCCTCCACCATGGGCAGGTAGGGAGCAGCAGGGTTGCACATCTGGCAGTTGTGGAGGTGAGGAAGACAGTGACCAGGTAGGTATACAATGGAGAGAAGTGGCTGCAGAGCCCTAGTGCCAGGGAGGCAGCCTCTCAAGAATGTTGGCTTGTGAAATTCAGTGTAAATGTCTAATAGAAAAGAGTTCTTACCTAGGAGTCTGAACCAGTTTCATCGGCAGAGTATAAGAAAGCTGTAAAGAGTTTCTTGCAAACAAGAAGATACATGTTTCTCCATTATCTCTTGAAAAATTGTTTCCAATTAAATGTTATCTCAGTTAATATATGAGTATTATATGAGTATATATGAGTATTATGAGAATATCTGACCTGTAGTTAGTTAGCACTGTGGGCATGACCACAGTCTCTAGCCTGAGAAGCTTTTCACATGCCACTTTAATGGGCAAGGACTCTATTTAGCCCTGTGTGTTCGGGAGGAGGGTATCCGGTGCTATAGATTAAGTCAGATGGGTACAGAAATTCCTTCATTGGTTTGAGATATATCAGTCTTCCTTTTCCTTTGTTCTAAAGGAAGGCAGTCAATCTGAGAAGTGAGAAGAAACAGTACCTTTGAGATGCCTAGGAAAATTATAATTTTTATGAATCTTATCAGTTTCTCTCTAATAAGTTTTCTTCATAGTGTTGTTGATAAAATTAAAGGAGATGGTATATAAAAACTGCCTTGTACAGTGCCAGACAGCATGGAATGGTAGACATAGGCCTGGTTTGGAGCCAAGTGTCACAGTGTTTGAATATAGACTCTGCTGCCTCTGTGAGAGCAAAGCCATGCTTCTGCACCTACAAAACAAGAGTCACAGTGTCTGCTTCGGAGAGCTATTGTGAAGGGTGAAGACAGTATCATTAAAGCTCTTCCCACAGCACCGTGCACTGAGCAGGCATTCAGCAGTCACTGCTGGCATCAGTATTGTGCTCAGTGTTATCAGAAATCTTGTCTTCTTTAGGCAACTAAAGCGGATCTTTGAGTAAATGGCACTGAGATTTCAGGAGTGATGGTGACAACCTCTTGGAAACATGACCTAACATTTTCAGGGACATTATTGCTGATAGCTCTTTTCCTACCCCCACCCCCATCTCCTGCAGTTGAGAATGAAAACCATTGCGATTTTGTGAAACTTCGGGAGATGCTGATCCGCGTGAACATGGAAGACTTGCGAGAACAGACTCATACCCGCCACTATGAATTGTATCGGCGCTGTAAGCTCGAGGAGATGGGCTTCAAGGACACTGATCCTGACAGCAAGCCTTTCAGGTGAGGCCACCTAGCAATCAGGTGTCTCCCAGACAGTGGTGAAGGTGGTGCGTTGGGGCATCACAGAAGTGCCTATTGGACTGAGATATTGGGAGGGAAGCACCTGGCGGGGACAGGTAAATAGCATATATTGCCAGACGTTGCTATAACCACTTTATTTGTATTATCTCAACTAACTGATGTAGTTGATGTCATTATTATCACCCTCATTCTACAGATGAGGAACTTAAGGCACTGAAAGTGTAAACCTGCCCAAGGTCCTGCAAGTAGGAAGTGATAGGGGTGAGTTTTGAATGCCTGCTCTTAACCATTACGCTGAAAGGGGCACCGAGCCCGGTCCAGGCATTTACAAGGGTGTGGCTGCTCCTTATAAGTTTCATTATTCGTTTTTGCCAAATACATTTGACTTCCCAAGGCTCTTATTTTTTGAAGCACTCTTACCAGCTTTCAGTGATTCAGTACAATTCTAACAACAAATGAGTAGGAAAGGGGATAACTTATGGAAAATTTCTTACAGATTTTCCCACATCATTGATGGGTGGAGATGAAGAGGCAAAATGTAAAGGAGAAAATATCAAAATTAATGTAGAATTAGTGGCCTTGCAGAGGCCCAGGCTCCGTCAGAGCCAGTGTTGGGGCAGGGTGCCCTGGCTCCATGAGCTGTAAGTGGAAGGCAGGGCTGCCAGGCCAGGCTCGCCACCTCCTGGTGCAGGAGAGGATTGCTTAGTCCAGACTGAGCCCTTGCAGTTTCTTTTCTTTTTTCCTTTCTTCCTTTTCCTTTCTTTTCTCTCTTTTCTTTCTTTTTTCTTTTTTTAACACCTACAGCACCTGGTCTTCCTAGGTGGTCTCCCATCCAAGTACTAACCAGGCCCAACCCTGCTTAGCTTCCGAGATCAGATGAGATCGGGCTTGTTCAGGGTGGCATGGCCGAGGCCAGGCTCGCCACCTCCTGGTGCAGGAGAGGATTGCTTAGTCCAGACTGAGCCCTTGCAGTTTCTTTTCTTTTTCCCTTTCTTCCTTTTCCTTTCTTTTCTCTCTTTTCTTTCTTTTTTCTTTTTTTAACACCTACAGCACCTGGTCTTCCTAGGTGGTCTCCCATCCAAGTACTAACCAGGCCCAACCCTGCTTAGCTTCCGAGATCAGATGAGATCGGGCTTGTTCAGGGTGGCATGGCCGTAGACTTTGCAGTTTCTTAATATAGCTGTGAGGTGTGTCTGGGTTCGTGCCTCTGCCGACTGGGGCCACAAGTCCTTGGAAAAGACCGTTTTCCTCTTCGGTGGCTGGCGGTCACCACCCGAGGCAGCTTGTGTGCGATGCGGCAGTCTCATTTCCCCTGGATCTGAGCTGCATTAGGGTGGGAGGATTTTTTTTTTTTCCTTAGAATTGCTTTAAAGATAGTTTGGTATAAAGTCCGGACTGGTCTCCTGGTTACAGTGCTACTGTGAAATGCTGTGGTCATGTGTGAGAACATTGGTGGGAACAAATGGAGACCCTAAAAAAGGCTTCTAACCGAGAAGTTAACTTCTAACCAAGCTGGCATCATTTTGTCGAGCCCTGGAGCTTGTAAAACTGGCCCTTTTCAATCAAATGAAATGTCACTTTCTGAGGCAAGGTAGAGGATGTCTTTTTGTGTGCACAAGTTTAGCTAACTGAACCTTGAAATGCGTTGACCAAAAAATAGTCTCTACAAAGGCAGGCCTATTTTGTGGTTATTAAACCTGGTGAAAATAGTTTTTCTGTGGTGCAGGCTATCTTTATTTTGTCGTAGAATTATTTTTCATTCATTGGGCGCTCTCCTTCATTTAGGTCCAGGCAGCGGTGAAGAGCACTGGGCAAGAGTCAGCAGTCTGGGTATAAGTCTTGGCCCTGTTATTACTCAGCTCCTCCACCTCTCTGGGCCTCAGTTTTGTATCTATAGAACAAGAAACAGGGCTAGGTCAAGGGACAGTCAGATTTAGTAAAAGGACTTTTTATATAATGGGCAGGATAGTACCATGCCCTCCCTGGACCATGCCCCTACACCCCACTTTCTGTCTGGTGTTTGGAGTAGAAGAAGGGAGTGGATTTAAAACGTGAAGGGGGACTGGCCTTGTCCCTGCTTTTCTCCTGAGATGACCATTGTTTTTTGCCCAACGGTCCCTATCTGAACCACTCCTTCCTCATCTCAGAATACCACCACCTTCTCCCTGACTCTACCTTTTAGGTCACAGAAGGTACAGTTACCACTGTTCTCTCAAGAGAGCACAGTGTTTTCAGGCCCATGAGACCCATTCATTTTTCGAAGCTCGTAGGCCTCAGTTCAGCAGCTGTGCAGTGCAGTGCAGGAGGCAGAGTTCCCAGGGGAGCTAGGGGGCCTGGATGCAGATCCCAGCTCTGTCACTTCCTCATTGTGTGAGCCGAACAGATTACTAAACACCTCTGTGTCCAGATTTCTCCATCTGTAAAGTGAGAGGTGATGATAATGCCTACCTTACAGGTTTTTTGTAAGGATTAATGAATTTTCTCGTGTAAATTGCTCCATAAACACTAGTGATGTGTTATACTCTGGTGTGCCCTCCACCAGATGATTCCAGGAGATGGTAATGCGGGGAGAATTATGTTGTGTGAATTACCAAAAGAAAGGATGAACTGAGGTGTCTATGCTCATTCCTCTTCCCCTGACTTTAGTGAGCAAAACCTGCCTCTGCCAAGGGGCTGTGAGGAGAAAAGAAGATAGTTTCAAACCAGCCTGAAACCTTGTGAAAATTTGTTCATTTCTTACTTAGAAAAGGGTGTTAGTAACTACAATTAAAAATTAAATTGGAAGAACTAAAAATTGCAAAAGATAACATCACTTTAGGTACCCATGAGTGGATAACAGAACCCGCTCCTTCTGAGCTGTTTTCACGGACTGGAAGAAGCATTAGTTTCTGGTGTCTCGTTTACAACTCAATTGGCAGAGGTGCCTGGGGAGTGTGATTCCATGAATGCCTTGGTTGTTCTGAGTTATTTCTAAATAACTTACTATAGTTTGACTCTTTGGAATAAGATTTTATGATTTCCGGGAGTGGAGTTAGGAAACTGTATTTAGAAAAGTCCAATACAACATGCCGAGGTGATCCTGATGTGCTGCCGGTTTGGGAGCCACCGTGCATCGTGACTCTTCTAAAGGGAGGTCAGACATAGCATTTTCGCTCAGCTCACTTGATTTGGGAACCCCTTTTTTTGAAGATCTAAACTAATGATCTCTGGAAGACATTTTGGGTAGTGTTTCTTGGTAATGTTTCTATAAAAGGTGTCCCACTGCTTGTTAGAAAGGAGATGTATTCATTTTTTTAAAATCATCAAAAACCGAATTTCCCTCAAAATTTCATAGCAGGGAAAGTCATCTTCTGCCTTGGACAATTTCTGATTCATTTAATGGTGATGAAGAATTTATTGATGCTAACAAGCAAAATCAAATTCATGGATTATTTTATCATTCTATTATTAATACATTTCTTTATGTGTGGCTATATTTCTTAAATTTTCAAGTCCAAATGTTGCTATTAGTATTAGCTGACAGTAATATTGGCCATACTTGTTTTAGTCTCATAAAATAGTATGAAAGCTAAATATACCTCTGAAAACTGAAAACACGTGATTGTTCTTTAATAGGTAGTGCTGATACTCTCAAGGGCAGAACTTAACCAACCAAAAGCATTGATTATAGAAGCAGAAGCAATCCTAATTAAGACATTTTCTAATTGTTTAGTTCTCTGTATATCTACATGCACATGTACTCTCACCATTTGAATGTTCCTTTTCTCCTAAAAGGACAAGTGTGAATGCTGGGGTGGCTCTGTGTGATACCTAAGATCATCCAGAGGTGCTGTGCAGTTTGGAGTGAGGACTTTGCATGAATTTAGTCCATGTAAAGATGGATAATCCTGCAGACTGATATTACTGTGACAGCTCTTGTTCTAGGGAAACTGCAATGGAGAAACAGAAATAGCACCTTACAAAATATTGGCAAGTGTTCCTCTGTTGGTATGGGTGTGGGTGTGTGTATCCTTAAGTTGTGTTATCAAAGGTGACATTTCTCTAAATATATTTGTTCTGTCTTAGAGATGCTTAGTCATAGCATTTCATTTAAAATATTGGACTCTCATTTTTGTAGACAATCAAGAGTAGGATAGGCTTTAAAATAAAACTCTTCCCTGCTCTATTTACAGTTGGTAATAAAACTTGAACAATAGCAATTTTCTATATCTTTAGATATACTCTCGTCTCTTTAGATGGTTCATTGAGTCTGTTTTCTAAATTGGGGACTAGAGGAAGATGAGTGGGGGAGGGTAATATTTGTTAAGCACTGAATGCTTTTTTCACTTTGCCCACATTTATTTCCCATAATCATATCCTTAGAAGGTAAGTGCTATTGTAGCCACATCTTATACTGAGGGGATCGAGGCTTAGAGGCTGTACCCTTGCCAAGATCAGTCAGTAAGCTGCTGTGGCCAGAATCTAAACCCTGGTCTGCGTGGCTCCAGTATCCATGCATTTCGCTCCCTGCATTACACCATCTCCGTCTTCTAAAATTCTAAATTATATCTTCTTCAGTGTCTACCTGGTGTGCTGATCTGAAAGGCACCAGCCAGCCCAGCCAGGCTTTCCCTTGTGTGAATATGTGCAGGGTAAAACTTGACCAATAAGAGACATCCTGTTAGTGCTGCATTGTGGTTATTGATGTGCTTGTCTTTCATCGTGGTTCTTGATGTGCTTGTCTTTCTGATCACCACGTAGCTAAAAGAAAATAGTGCCATTTTGTGTCATTTAATATGGTAAGTGGCAGCCTTATCTATTTTTTTTGGAAGAGGATGGGTAGAAATTCTATGAACTGAAATTTCTCATTATGCAACTTCATGACACTGTCCTTGTTTGTGGCTTTTGAATAGTCTTCAGGAGACATATGAAGCAAAAAGGAATGAATTTCTGGGAGAACTTCAGAAGAAAGAAGAAGAAATGAGACAAATGTTTGTTATGAGAGTGAAAGAGAAAGAAGCTGAACTTAAAGAGGCAGAGAAAGAAGTAAGCCATCGCCCTGTCTGTCATCTTTCAAGGGAGAGAAATAAGATGTTTTATTAATACTTCACATTTTCTAAGACTTCATGCTGTTCTGTGTACTTTCTACATACATTTTATCACACGTGTGACACACTAACCTGGCAAGAAAAGTAGGTCATATATTCTTATCCCTATTTTACAGAAGACAAAACTGAAATTCATAAAGGTTAAGTGATTTATGCAGTCATGAACCTAGTTCATAGCAAAGTTGAAACTAGAAACTAAATCTTAGGTCTCCAGACCTAGTCCCAAGTTTTTTGTAGCTCAGTATTTCTTCAGTTTACAGGTCTTGAAATGTGAGATTTCGGATCCTGGAACTATTATTATTATTTTAGTCTGTCAGTGAGCTAAACAGTGGAGGGCCCTTCAGCACTGATGGGTGATGGTCTCTGTACACCATCGTGTCTGTGCTCATGTTTACCCCTTTGTGGGCATGCACTCTCTACTCCAACATCCCTCTGACTCCATCTTGTTCCCATGCCTAGGTCAAATTAACTACTTCATAGAAATTCACATGGATTTCTGCTATAAATCCCATTGAGAGAGAGTATGTGTAATATACTTGCCTCTGATGGTAGACAATGAGACTCTCAAGTGAACAATATATTTCCAAATGAAATTGTCTAAATTTCTAAATTGTCTAAATTCCTTACCGTCCCCTTTTAATTTATCTTTATAGAGACTACTGAACTTAGAGGTTATTTAAATAGCTAAGCATTCAACACAGTTTTGCTGCAGGGAAAGGAAAGTTGAACCTTATTTGCTGTTGACTTCGAGTACTAAGTGAATACTGGGTCAAATATCTGGAATTACCTAGTAAGAATATCTTCTTTCCTCCCTCCCTTCCAGTTTTTATTTCTGCATTGTGATAATTTTCCAAATTCAATTTTTCAAGGGCCAGAAATTTCTCAACATATTATTTGAAGTGTGTGTGTGTGTGTGTGTGTGTGTGTGTGTGTGTGTACCTGTAGTCAGTTTGTATGTCTCTAAGTCATGTATATTACACATTTTATAAAGAACTATTCTTACTACTAAGGTGAATTTCTTATTAGAAGCATGAATGATTTTTATTTTCTTCTTTATGCTTTCTATAGTGAGTATATATTTTTATTATATACTCATGTTAAAAAAATATGCAAGGATTCCCTCTAATTCCAGGGGGTCCAGGTCTCAAAGGTATATAGGGCTCCAAGGGGCGTTCTTCCCATCTTGGCTTGGCTTCTCCAGGAGCACCTGACCCTACTTCACTTCTGTAATTAAAGCACATGCAGCATCACGGCACAGGCTTTCTTCCGAACAGATCCAAGTAACCTTATGCCAGCAAACTTTCCATTCCCTTCACCAAGCTTGTCCTCTTCTTTTTCTCTCCAGCTCCATGAGAAGTTTGACCTCCTAAAGCGGACACACCAAGAAGAAAAGAAGAAAGTGGAAGATAAGAAGAAGGAACTGGAGGAGGAGGTGAGCAATTTCCAGAAGAAGAAAACAGCAGCGCAGCTACTGCAGTCCCAGGCCCAGCAGTCTGGGGCCCAGCAAACCAAGAAAGACAAGGACAAGAAAAAGTAAGCGGGTGTCACCCCCATGCAGTGGGGCCCTCTAACAATTTATTCCTCTTGCATGTATGTCTCTACTTTTCCCATTTACAGACTAGAAACTGGTCTGTTACCAGAAAGATAAAAAAGCGAGTATTTCCTCTACAGTGCAGGGAAGAGGCTAAAGGTTTTTAAAGTATTTCTAAAGGGTACACTAACATTAATTTATAAAACTTGACCACATGATCAAGCAATCAGGGCTGGAGGAACCTGTCATCTCCAGTAGCATCTTCTGCACCAATAGTAGGACTTTGAGAAGAAAGTTTATTTCTCTTCACTACTCTTTGGAGACAATCCTCGTGACTCCTGATAAAAAGCATCCTAAATTATGATTGTTAAAATTATTTTTCTATTCTGTGTTGTAAGGCTTGATAAGCCAGTCATTATTCCCAGAGCGAAAGATTGTAAGCGGCCACTAGTTTTCTTCTAAATTCAACAAGATAATGAATTGTTTTATTGTGAAAATGGTATCATAATCCCATCCACTTAAGACATCCCTACCAACTCTTAATACAACCTATACCCACACACAAAAGGAAACATTTTTAAATATGGCCATGATTTAATGTGCCAAAGGCTCAGATTCTGCTCTTGTGTTGGTCACTTCGATGATACTCAGTGACAGCTACCCAAATCCAGTGAGTGGTTTGGGCTTTCCTGATAGTCTTCTGTGATTTGAAGCTCTACATCAAATCACCTTAGAGACTAGAGAGTGCAGTTTTATGACAATTACTATTGGTTTGACAGGAAGCACAGTGGTCAGTAAGATACCTTTGAAGAAAACCTTTGTGGTGGCCGATGGCAAACTCATGGCGGCTGCACTCTGCTGTCTGTCTAATGCACGGTGCTCTTAGGGCGGCAACAGGTGACTCAGAATGTGTTTCAGGATTCTTGCTCTTCATCCTGAGAATTCTACATTCTTAAAAAATGTAGCCAACAGGGTCAAGTCTGCACAGTAATCGAGACCCATCGTAGGGAAGTGAGCACAACCGTGGTGCTCGCTTAGTCTGGGTGAACACGCAGACTCGCCCCTGAGGAATCCTATTACGTCACCTACGGTAGAAATCAAAATGCACCGCTACAGCGACACGTGGATAGAGTTTTAAATTATACTTTACAAACTTTACAAGCTCTGAGACAGCAGAAAATGTGTCAGAAAATGAGAGCAAAGAAGCAGGCACATTTTCTAGGCAATAGAAAGTAGTTGATGTAGGTGAGATGTGATTTTAATGGGGTTGGTACAGACCCGCATGATCAAAGGATTATAGGGGCTGAAACTTTAGTTATTCTGGATTGATTCTGAGAGGAACAATTGCCTAGATTGTAATCCAGTTCAAGAAAGAACTTTGTAGCAACGCACATTGGGAAAGCATCTGTCACTAATGGTGACGTTCCCCATGCAGAGATTCAGAGATTACTGTGACTCTTCCAGTGAAGACAAAATGGAAGCCATTTGGCATCATACCCTTGTTGATCCAAACTAAGCCAAGATAAAAATGTGTGTGTGTGTGTGTGTGTGTGTGTGTGTGTGTGTGTGTGTGTGTGTGTGTGTGTGTGTATGTGTACACATCTATAGGCATGAATGAAACAGAAAAAGCTGCTGACTCACAGCTTAGGAGACCCAAAGTCACGTTTTTCTTACCCTGAAGCACTGAAGTACATAAAGGTACATATTTTAGAACTAAAAATGTTTTTAAAAGACCAGCAATGTTCTGAGGATATTTCATGTATACTGGTTGTGCCTTTAAGCAATAAAAATTCCAAGAGCTGATCAGTATTGTGCCTCCACATTAAAAAGTCTCTCTAGTAACAGACTTCTAGTAACAGTGTAGGGAGGTTTTTCCTTGCCCTTTTGAACATTTTAGGTTATTTTCTTTCCAACCTTGGGCCTTAGAAATGTATAATGCTTTTCAGATTATGTAAAGTATGTGTGAGTTCTATTTTAGCCTTATTTATACCTTCTCATTTATTATTAATGGAATTAGACTTAATTTGGTGCACAATAGTCACTAGGTTTTGTGCCTGACAGTGGCACATATTTTTGGTAACCTCTTCTAGGTTCTTGCCCTTTTCCACACTTTCCCATTTGAACAGTGAAAACAACTGTCAGTGGAGAGTTTTGGTTAGAGAGGACCACAGAAAGACAGTAACCAGGGTAACCAGAGCAGCACTTTGAAAATAAACGGAAGACCCTTTCCTCATCATGGAGGAGATGCTGGAGTCGCCACACATGCCACTTAGGAGCTGGCTTATTCTAAGGAAAAAATATAAAGAGAGATGCTTGTTTTTCACCAAGTATGTTTCCATCTCAGAGCTTAACTTAGTTTTTCTAATAGCTTTAAATTCTGTTTTTTTTTTCCCCTAATTTAATGACATGCTCCCTTTTTAACGTAGGTAAGGTTTTATACTTCTCCTTGACCTGTAGTGGCATGAGAACATAAAACATTTCCTAAGATTACAAAGTAGAACTAACCCTGACATTGCCATTAGCTGGAACCTACCTCCTGCCATCTCTGGCCACCAAGTCACTTTCCTTGTTTGCGGCTACACCACAGTGGTAGGACTGCCCAAGGGTAAGTTGTTCAGTAGACGGTGTTCATCTTTTCTGAAAACTTTGCACAACTGCCAGCAGGCATTCACTGGTTAAGATGCATCCATCCCAAAAGAAAGTTTTAAAATCCATCATTTTACAACTGTACCTGGCTTCTGATATCTATAGTTTACATAATCATCCACTCATCTTTAAAAATAATAATAATAATTTGATTCTTGCTAAGAAATGAAGTTGCATGTTTTGGACTTACCTACAGTTAGACATGTGGATCTCCGATTTGGCACTCCCTTGGACCTGCAAGAGGGGGAAGGCTCTGGTATTACTGTAGCTGTAACTATGTAATGACTGTCCTTTTTTTTCTTTCCTTTCCAAGTAGATTAATAGCATGTCCTCCATCCACTGTATTCCATTCTCCAAGTTAATGGTTCAGAGTCATTTATAGTATATTTATTCTCTGACTCCAGCAGCTCAAAAATGGAAAATGTAGTTCCTATTCAGTACTGGTGTGATGCCCAAATCTAACAGATAATGGTTTTGTGTTACTGGAGAAAATGAAAACCAAACAGTAAATCCTTCTACTAGAACATGTAGTGCTTTCAAGAAGTCACTTGTGAATTCTAAATTACATGCAAATGGAAACTAACCACGTGTTCTTTAATTCAATATTAAAATGTTGCTTTTGCTTGTCATGTAGAATAGCTCACTCAAATTTTTGGTTTTATTTTCTGTCAATTCCATAATCATTGCATGAGCATTCACTGTCACCGAATGCTGGTGCTGGCGCTCCTAATTTTCCTTTCTCTTTTTATTTATTATTATTTCTAACTTTTTTGTTTTGTTTTTTAACTTGCAGTGCAAGCTTCACATAAAGCCTGGCAAGCCAAGGATGGTCCCGCATTCACCTGCTTTTGCAGTAATATTGTATCTCTGCCATCTGTGTCCTTTTGTTTTTTTTTTGTTTTGTTTTTACCCTTCCCCAGACACCAATAACTATTATTAACTCATTTTGCTGAATGTTGTTGGGTAGTAGAAAATGACAGAACAAGGGAATAACAGCAAAAATTATGTGCAGCTAGACTTTGTTTCTGGAAAGTAAATGATTTGCCTTTTATGCCTGTTCACAGTGGCAGCAGGAAGCATGCCTGTTACTTGTATGTTGCTTTGGACTGAGGGAAGGAGGGTACATTGCTACATGTAAGTCTGACAGGAAAACTCACCGTAGCAGCTGAACTATAAACCTGAATAATCATGACAACTTTTCTCGATTATTCATATCCATGATGGCAAAAGCCCTGAACTTATTCTGTCTCTTCTCCCCACCTGCTGCAAACCCAAGGTAGCTTTGTTCATAGGCAGAAGAGTAAGTAAGCTTTATATGACTTTTACACCTGCATGGACTTATTATTATAATATTATTTGGCGTGGTATGTGGGTCTCTTCAGACTGACCATCTCATCTTATGGCTTTAAAAATTTGTCTGAACCCTATCTCTTAAATTCGGGCCAAGTTAGACTGTAATAAACTATGATTATGTTCACTTTCATCAGTGCAACCCTGATCCTCTCACAGATAGCAGTCTCGAAGGTTGGATAGTACAACATTGCTTAGTAGAAGAGTCTACCAAGGATGATAGGCTTTCCACAACCTACTTACTACCTGTAATTAGCAGTCTTATAAAAACACCTAAATTTGCTCTCACTGGGCTGGGAAGGGGAACCTAGTGACTGAGGCCAGGATATCATTATTTCTAATAACATTTTTCAGTAATCATCAGGAGGAAATTTTCAGAAACCTTTCAAATAGAAAATTTGCTATAAGCTGTGCAGCACAAATTTGTCAATTTCAGGTAGAAATTACACAAACCTATGATTCAAAGAAAATAGAAATTCGACTTCACATCTAACTTCCTTGCACAGAGTCCTTTCGATGTTTGTCAATAAAGAGAAGAAGAAATTGAGCAGCTGGTTTTTCAAATCCATGTGTCTTGAAGGAATTTCCTCATCTTTCCTGTCATTATGCCCAAGACCTATAACCCCATCAATGAAGATTAGGAGTTACTCAGGTGCCAGGACATGGACTATACCCCAAATTTGTATGGAAAAGGGCATATTTAATCTCTTTTCTGTGTTCCTTTGTGCAGCTTATCCTTTCTTTTTCTTGATTTTTTTCCCCCCTCTACCAAGATCCTCCCAGCTTTCTAACTCTAAGATCTGTTTCTTCCTTGAAAGAATAACATTTCTCATGAACCCGATATTTCACTTCTGCATTTCCTTCAGGCCTTCAGTTATACATTAAGGAAATAGGACAGAATACACTGTACCTCCCCTGACACACACACACAACTTCTTAAAAATATTAAGTCTCTAGTTGATTCCAGTAAAAACTTATTTTTCCCTTCTCTTCATCCTCAGCCATACTCTTAGGGGAAAGAAGCAATGGTCTTCCATGAACTGATTTAGGCTTAATTAGGCAAAGTAAGAAATCAGTTTCACGGAAGCCCAAACTAAGCTGGGCTAGAAACTGCACATCAGGAACAGCAATAGTGATATAAAGACAGGTTTAGGAGAAACTGGACCAAAGCTTTTGTTTTTGCTTCTGTTTTTTAATGATTCTAGTGTGATGCTAGCTATGGAGCAGCCAAATATTAGATGGCATGCTGATTCTAACCATGGGCTGAATTTGCTCATATATGTTGTGCACCAGACAAAAGCCTGAATACTTGTGTTGTATGCTTGTCCCAACCATTGCTTGTGTGAGCATTTTTGTGCCTTGAAAGAGAAAATACACTTTTAAATTCTAAAAATGCATCACTTTAAAATTGTCATTTTAAATTATCATACTAAAGCTTAGCCATGAAAGGCATCCAGCTGACTTTTTGATTCCAAGATTATTAATTGATTTTTTTTTCCATTAAAATTTTCACAGTAAAATAAATCACATGGAGAGTCAGGGAATAAAACTTCAAAAGAAATATAGAGAATATAGAAGCTTTTTAAAAAATGTGTTGCTTCTGAACTTTTTTCTGTCCCTGCTCCAGGCCCTGTTTAGTTTGTTATTGCTGCTCTTCTCTTCTTTCTGTATCTGTGCCTTTTTTCACAGTAGTCCTTGGCTCTGCACGGAATAAATGATACCCTCAAATCTAATTGGATGTGCTTTCGCCTTTGCATGTAAGTACGCTAGTAAGAAACCTTTGAGATCTTTGACTTTTTAAAATTAGAGAAATGGGATAGATGGACTGTTTTCTTTTTGGAGGGGTGGGGGTAGGGAGGTAATGGTTTGAGTAGCTTTTGGTGTAAAAATAAAAACTAAATATATTTAAAATGGCCACATTTATATCTTTTTCACAAGAAACCCATAAATTCAATTTTCCCTTGATATCAGTATGGAAGTCAGAAATTACTAATCCCAGTCTGTGTTCTACACAGCATTGTGAGTGTCATTGGATGTTACAGGGGCCCGTGGTTCTGACTCCGTAAATAAAGCTAGAATGAGAAACCATTGCCTTCCACCTGGAGAAGATCAAGAGGAAAAAATTTTTTATGCTAGGTTGTCTCTAGGACTACTTAATTTTTTGGTCTTGCCCCCATGCTAATTGCTGGCTTTTTTTTTTTTTTTTTCCTCCATTTTGGCTAGACAGCTCTAGCTGACCTCTTTACATCTTTTGTTCAACCATAATGACCATCTTTTTGCTCCTTTCAGACTTTAGATACCCATAACCCTTGTGTAGGTAATAGGACGTGATGGAAAAACATTGATGAGAATTTATTGGCTGTTCAGAGACTATGTTTTCCAGCTTAGGCTCTTTATTAATTGGTCAAAGTTTGGTCCAGAAAAGGCATCTTAACCAGGGGAACATTCATCATGAAACTGGACACAGGTTACTTATTCTCTTCTTTCTCTGCTTTGTAATCTCACCAGCAATAACACTTATTCTTCATATCTCGTGCACCTCAAATAGACTTGGTTTCCTCACTTTCTTGACATATCCATAAGTGTTTCACATACAGACTGTTGAATCAGGTTTTTCAGCTGTTACCAACCCACATCATACTGTCTCTGTGTGGTCCTACCAAAACTGTCCATTCAGATCTCTTTGCTTTGCCATTTGCAAGTGTCTAATATTGTCAAGTCTCAACTTCCAGAAGTTTAGGTTTCATTGATGCATATTTGATGACTGACTCTTTAGTGGAAATGGTAACCTACAAAGTCTAGATTGTATGTAGGTATGAAGGGAATTTTTTAAATAAATTGAAAATTAAGCTGTGAACAGCATTAGAACTTTGTCTATTTCTTAATTTTAAAATATGCTGATATGCCTTAAATTGTAGTTGTAGATCATTGTCATTTTGCTGTTTGAAAATAACCGATGTGTTTCTAAAACTTGTGTAATCTACTTTCAGTGTTAATGCAGAATTGTCATATTTGTAAGCTGCATGTTAGACTTTTTTTTTTAAACTAAAATAATTGTATTAATGTGAAGCCTATCATTTTTCAAGTATGAAAGTAATCACTTAGCAAACATGCTCAGTAATTTTGTGTCTGTTAAGGTAGGAGAGTGGTGGACAGGTAATCTATGCATATATCACTAGTGCCAAGACATAAAGTGGGGGAAAATATATTTTTACCCAAACATTGTGTGCCCTTTTGTGAGTTCTTTTTAATCACTGTTTGATATGCATATGTACCCGTGCTGATTATGTCGGATAAAAGAAATAGGTAAGAAAGAGCCTCGTGCTTTCCAGCCTTGTCTGGTGGACGTCAAATGCTACCATCTGGGTGGTACCAATTTCTCCAAGACACTTAACCATGTGGTGTCCTGTACTTTACTTGCTGTGTCTGCCACCTTTCTCCCCTTTTCCCGTACCCTTCTGTCCTGATTAGTGTTCCCCGTCACCCCACTGCCTCTAGGTCCAGCTGAGGCATCCTCCTCTTCCCCAGCCTCTGCTGTCACCGCTGCTGCTGCTCAAGGCCGTGCTCAGGGAAGTTGTCCCTTTAACTGACACACTGCTGTTCTTTCACAGTTCATTGTAAAGAAACTCCTTTTTTTTAAGCCTTTATGAATCAAATTTGAATCTGAACTTTTCTTTTTTCTCTTCTGTAGCTTCTTCTTTATGTAACCATCCTGTTGACAAGCCCTACTCTCTCCTAATGGACATAAAGCATTAGAAGAGCAGGAGCTGTCTGTTCACACGTGTTGGGGAAGAGTTACCTCATTACCACCATCGCCTCCTTTTCTTTTAAAGTCTGGGTCAAATATTGCTCTGCTGTTTGTACTTGTCAATGTCTGTTTACAAACCACTACCTATAGTGGTTACTAAAGTGACTTTTCACTACCAAAAACAGTAATACTTAACACTACTTAAAAGGAAATTCAGTGAAACAGAACTTGAACCAAGACCCTAGGTAGCCTTCTATTGGGATCCTTTAGCTTAGCTGCCTTGTTCTTGAAGCTGCTAATCCAAGAAGTTACGGACTGAAGACAGCATGTTCCCTGGTCTGAGGTGGCCCTCACCTCCAGAACCCACAAACTTGATCTCATGTTAACTCCAGACCTCTCTGTCCCATGAACGACATTCTGAACAGCCCCCTCAGGACCCTCAGCCATCAATCAGGTCTTAAGATCTGGGCAACGTTTTCCTTCCTTTTCGTTAGTTTTATGGGTTGTTTTGAAGTTTGAGAATCTTAATTTGGTATTGCATGAACAAAGATGGCTGCATTTTTTTTTTTTTTTAATTTAGAGTGTTCTATTGATACAATGTTTTTATTTTTCAGCTGACCATCTGCCTCTTGAGAGAGAGAAGTGGGCATCCCTTCCTTTAAATTCAGGAACCATTGTTGTTTTGACTTTTTCTGTTACCTGCATCCCTTATATAAATTGTTTTGGGTTTGGAATTGTTTGGGGGGAAAAAATTTTCCAGTTAGGCAGTTGTTTTATGTTATTCAAACTTAGTTTTGTTATCAAAATTAGGCTAGTTTTAACCTCAAGGGGAAATTTAAGTGAAGTTTCAGTCACAGAATTCTGTTTACAGTGCTCTCCTCATCTCAGAGACACACAAAAAAAATCCCTTTGCTGTCACTGGGGTTTGGCCTACAAGTCTTAATCCTCTTTAATGTGTGCCAGTATTGGGTAGATGACTTTTCAGCCTCTGGGACTCAATTTATATTTAAAGGTATCTTAAAATACTTTTCTGCATCTTTATTTATTGTGGAGCTCTGCTTTACCTTGTGTCCTGAGTTGTGTTTTGGACCATGGGAAATGAACCCAAGCAAGTACATATCCTGTCCCAGACAAGTGTCATTAGCAGTGGTTCTGGTCCACATTGTCTTCTCAGAGTCACCCAGGTAGCTTTCTCCACTATGTCTGCAAGAAAAAAAAAAATCACTTAATATACACTCAATACACACACACACACACACACACACACTCTGCCAGTCGAATCTAATTTCTCGTGCTGACCCCATTGTGACGAGCTAGATTACTTTATTAGCAGTCACCTCTCAGTGGCAGTTTTCATAGTCAAAGGACAATTTTCAAATGTTTATATTTTAGAGCATGAACATACATTTTAAGTTACCTTTTAATTTCATTACTTGTCTAGTCTTTGCTTATTTCCATCTTTTTTCAGCCCCATTGTAGGTGGGTCACAAAAATACTTTTGGTGGCATGAGTTGCTTTGGGTGAAGATCTTTAGGAGTGTCCCCTGTTTAAGAATAGTGACATAGGTTCCTGCCGAAAGGTGAAATGGTGAAGCAACAGTCCTGCCTCTTGAATCATTTGCTTCTTGAGAAAATGTTATTTAGAGCAGCAGTCCCCAACTCTTTTGGCACGAGGGACAGGTGCTCCTATGAGAATCTAATGCCTAATGATCTGAGGTGGCGATGCTAGTGCTGGGGAGTGGCTGCAAATACAGATGAGGCTTTGCTTGATCGCCCACTGCTCACTTCCTGCTGTGCGGCCCCGTTCCTAACAGGCCAGGGACTGGTACTGGTCCTTGGCCTGAGGATTGGGGACCCCTGATTTAGAGCACTTGCATGAGCATGCTGGCAAGAAGCTTTCTTTACTTAGACACTATGACTTTTTAAATGCAATAGATTTGTCTGAGCCATTACATGATCAAAATGAGTCAAGAGCTGTCACCTCCAGTATAATCTGTAAGGATAGAAATCTGCTAGTGATGTGACCAGTAGTTTGGGTAGTGGATGGGTGGATACTGACTCAACTGATGCCAGAGCATGACCAACTATATCAATTAATCTATTGTGCGTGAGACCACTGTAATCACTAAGTACAAAAATTGGTTTTATTTTTAAACTCATTTTTATTTGAATATCAACTTTACCCTATCATTCATTTTAAAAACAAATTCTGCATCAGATTGTAGACATTTTTGAGCAATATTTAAAAATCAAATTAGCCAGGATTATTTTAAGTAGATAAATGTGTAGTCTATTGTTACTAATCCCCTTTCACCCCTTTTTAATCCCCAGGTTAAAAGAAGTATAATAGTAATCATCTTAATGGGAGGGGTCCGGGGGAACAGACTATTATAAGTAGGTTGACATCTGTTCAGTCACCTAGGGAAAGCTGATCATGGACGCCACTGGTCAAATGCACTGCCATCTCTCCACTGATAGGGTATTTTACTTCAAGTGGTTTCTTTGCTCAGGTGTTGAACTGGTAGGTTCTCAAGTTCTCCAGGCTGACCAACTTAGATGAAATCATCTGGGGCTAATTATCAATAATAAAAGTTTGCTTATCCCAAGGTAGACTGTGGAGAAGGAAAATTGAGCCATTCAAACCTATTTTCATGGATAACAGGCAATAGCTTTTTATTTTCCATTGTCTTTGAAAATATATGTTACCTGATTTCAAATACAGACTGCTTTATTGCTACAAGTGTGGGCTAGATGGTCTACTTGAGACTAGCACAGCACTTGTATAGAGATCTGATCTGAATCACTGCGCACTGAGCTGGGGCAGATAAAATTAGATCATCATCTTAACTTGCTTGGCCCACCTTTTTTCCCCATCAACTACCTACCTATCAAATGAAACCTTATTTTAGTTAAGTTTTTTGCCTATCATTGGCCTGGTTTTTGGGTAAACAGTTCTAGATATCTAAACGTACATAATTTTCACTGTATGCAAATAATGTTAGTACACAAAGCCTTTTGCTTGGTAGATTACTGTCCTTTCCACCCTAGAGACTGACAGTGATAGCGACGTGGCTCACTTTGAACATCTTTGTACTTGAATTCATGAGAGCAGGGCATTTAGTCCTTCTGATACCACCTGGCTTTCAGATCAACCTCTGGGACTCCCAGGGTTGATGAAGGGATTGAATGTGTTAGTTTGAAGGCTAGTTTTGAGTCTAGGTATCCACTTACCTCCCTTTCCAACCTTCCTGTTCTGACAAGTAACTATATAAATGAGATCTCTTGGTTGTTAATGGAACATCCAGGTGAGGTACAAATGATTTCACACCGACTGAAATCGGTTATGTACTTGCAGGGCTGTGAGTTGAATGGCATCTCACTCAGTTCACCGTGGAAACTTCCAAAATGTGACGCTTAGAGGTGGCGGCTGTTAAGAGGTTGGTCTCTGTCCCACACAAAAAAAAAACTCTTTATGGGGGGAGGGTGCAGAATAACATTCTACAAAAAGCTTGGTTCAACCATGCATTCTCTGCATGATGTTTTCAGACCCCTGAAGAGTTGCAATTCTAGCTCTCTTTGCCTTTTATTCACATCCATCCATCCACTTCCACACACCCACTCTCTTTCCTAATACTTTATTCTGTATACTGCACTAGACCTACATTAGGTGCGGGGGATATAGCCATGAACTGTGAATTGCACTTTCTCTCCGAATACCTAATAAGCACAGCAAATTTTTGGAGTAAAAGAAAAGGTAAGCCCTTTCAATGCTAAGGTGCTGAAGATAGATTGTAGTCTGGTAAAGCAAAAGCCCACCCCCATCCTCAGTTGCTTTCCAGTGGTTGCTTAAGGTTGCCCTTCATTCTGCAGTATCCTCTAGCCTAAAAGCTGTTTCTGAGAAATGAGAAACCAGTTCACTGGGCCTACGCTTTTCTATTGCCCCACTGTGGTGTAACACAGTAAGGTCAACAATTCTGGGAGAGGTTCTCACTTAATCCTTAACTCAGAAGCTCCTGGGAACTAGAGGAGTGAGCTCTTCTCATATTTCTCTGATAGACATTCTTAGTTACTTATCACACCTTTTCAATAATCTAGCTATGTCGGAGTTATGTCTTACACGTGTCTTACATATCAGTATGTCATAAAAACAACTCTATGAAGGAAAGCTTTCATTCTAATTCCCCGATGCAAGCTGTGCTACATAAGCTTGCACTTCGTTTCTGACCTAATGATTTATCAAATCCAACTACAAGGGACAGCATCAAGGTTTTAATTTATAAAACTTTTGAGGTTTTTTCTCTTTGGTATGAGACCTATCTAGCCACCATCAGCCCCATACCATGGCAGATCTTGCTCATTTTCCCAGTCCTCCATGCAGATTCCTGTGCCTTAAGTGATGTGCACTTGTAACTACAAATGATGTATTGCCTAACGTGTTCAACTGCTCCGCCCAAACAACCGTTTCTCCCAGAAACTTAACATGCTTCATTTTCCTAGAAGCATCATCTAGTGGCCAAAGTTCAAAACATTAACAGGCATAGGACACGTCCTATTAACAGTTTAAAGGCGAATTTCAAGAATTTTGGAGGCTTCAGAAGTATCAATTACATGTTAGACAAAAGTTCATGTTATCAATTAGAAGGGATAGATTTGAAATGAGTTAAAACTTGAACCTTGTTAAAAATTCTTAGCTATTTGGCACTGGACAATTCTCTAACCCCCAACTAGCTAATGTCCACCAGCCATGCTACCTCCCAGGATGGTTGTGTGAACATTTGGCACAGTATCTTCCCTTTCCAGTTGGAAATGAACCGACTACCTTAAAAACGAATGTAAGCTCCCCGAGCATCAGTGACTTAATCACATTACTGCTGCTGTGGGCAGTAATGCACAAGCACAACTTTGTTTCAAAAGTAAATTAAAAAGCTTGAAAATCTAGGTATGTAAGGAATACAGAGGACATGTTTGTAGGTTCTAATAATGAGAAAAAGAAGTACTGGGAGGGTAGACATTATGTCTTTATTCCCTCAATGGTAAGAATGTAGGCTCATGCTCATCAGCTTGGCTGAGTGAAGAGCTACGCTCTAGCTTCCTTCAGAGCCAAAGGCAGTGCTGGTAACATTTCTGATAAATCAGTTATATCTATTTCGGGGCACTCCCCCTTCTCAGTTCTCCCCTGCCCCACCACATTAATATAAGCCATTTGTAGAAAAAGAATGCCAGTTCTCCAGGTAACGAAAATGTCATACAGATATTGTAGAGAATATTTAGCTTCTAGTCTGATCAAGAGTTAGAACATGCACTTTGACTTTTCCGAATAATTCATGCCCATCAAGTTTATTCCCTTGCCTTTGTGGGGGCTTCATGGAATTATTGATAGGTTTTCTAACCACCAGGAGAAACCAGACAATTGTGATCCACAAAGGTCAAGTTTCCAAATATTGGAAGTTTGCGAAGTGATGCCAAAATGTCAATCAAGTAACTTGAGACAGGCTAATGAGAAGTTTCAGGTAAACAGGATCTAATTTAACAGCAGGAACATTTTTAATAAAAAGTTCCACTGTTCAAGAATATTGTGCTTTTTTCTGTCTCAATCCATGAGTTCAGGCCCCTCAGTCAAACTCCAAGAGCCCATTGTAACCCAGGTCTTGGGGGCAGCTCTCAGGAGGGTCTGCTCTCCAAACTCCAATCATTTAACTATGGGTTAAATAAGCTTTGAGGTATAAGAGGAGAAGCTCAACCATTCCAATTCAGTTTCATGAAAATAATACTAATGTTCCAAACTGATTTACCAGCAACTTTTGATTAGAAAACCTTAAGCTCAAATAATTAAAATCTTACTGCCCTCTAACTTCTGTTCAATCTATAGCTACTGAACTACAAATGAAATACTCTGACCCTAGACTCAATTTTATCACTAGCTTTTTACATATTACTCGTCTATTAAGTACAGGTGGAGAGAATTAGCTGCCATTTGCTTTATAGAAATGAACGTTACGTACAAACTTCTTGAAACTCCCACAATTGAGAATTAGGAAACAGAACCAGATGATTATGATAATTGGGATATTTCAATGTATATCTACAAAGCCAATCTCTTGCTATCTTCACCCCTAAACAGTTCACTTTTATCTTCCCTCCTCCCTCTTATATGTAAGTAAAAGCTTTCCCTTTCATTGGGTTGAAAGATCAGAAGTAGGTAGCCAACCCTACCACAATAAGTTCAGGACAGTCAAATGTTGACCCGAGGATACAATACCCTGCCTCTGATAAATTGAACAAAATGAATAAATTAAAAATGCCTGCCCTCACAAACAGTTCCATTAAGATGAGAATTTACTGTTTGGAAGGTCCACAGTTCACCAGGGAGAAAATAAAGGAAAAATTCTTATTATCAAAACCTACATCCCTGATATTTAAGTCCTCATGTTTTATTTTCTGTAAAGCACATTCTTGGGATTTTTATCATTTTCTACAGTTTAAATAGCAGCACCTAAGCCATCAGGAACTTCCTTGCACTTCTTCAAACAAAAAATAGAGACACAGTGGTTAAGGACAACGTTTATTGCTACCAGAGGCTTTTCTCATCAGTACATGGTTGATTCTGACTGCAATACCTTATTCAGACCATACAAGGAGCTCAGGATCCAGAAGTCATTAAGGGAAATATAGGTAGGCTCAAGAGACAGAATAATTTTTTGTCAAGAAAATCCTAATAGCTTATTAACATAAAACTAGGGTACTGAATTCAGTAATTACATGTTATAGACCCAAATCATAGAGCTGCCAACATCTAGACAGTCTCTCACTGATAACAGAGCTGAGCAGTTACCCCTCAAAAAAATTTTTTAAAAATCAAATTTTAGTTGTTACATGGTTCTTTGGTGAGCACCTGGATAATATTAACTTTATCACAAATGGTTTAAACAAATGTCAAAATGCTTTCAACAAATCTAAGAGTGTCCTAATTACATGCCACTTTTAAACTTCAGTTTAAGATAAAAACCATTTTGTTTCCAAACTCTAGATCTTGAAATGAAACAAAACATGTGGTAATGTGAGTCCTTTTTCTATTACCACATCTGATTCAAATGGGGCAATTCTGAAGTACCCTTTTCAGATTAATTTGAATCATTAAGGATTAATACATGGCTGTTGAACTGAAATAATTTATTCACAAATTGCTAAATAATTTTGAGAGTTTCCTAGTCAGTGGAAATCAGGCTATAGATCAACATGCATTAAATTCATTAAGTATTCAACGAAGAAGCAAGCAAAAACAAGAAGAAAATTAAGTCAGGACATTGGGGATAGAGTTTGCTAGCTATGAATTTTGGAACTTTAAAAAAACCACTGACTGACTTTTTAACATAGGGGCAATCTACATTTTGGCAGAGAAAAAAAAAAGGGTGAAACTGACAAATACTACAAAGAAATTTCTTACTTTAAAAAATGTTTGGATCTTTTGAATTTTATACTTTTTCTGGTCTTTAAGTGCTTAAATAATATTTAATTCTAATTAGCCATACAAGTAAATGGTTTGTTTTTTTTTTTCTGGCTCACTTCAAATCAGCCTGATAAAGGTATGTACCTGTAGATAGCCTTCGCTAGTTTGCCACATTCTCAACCCGAGTAGTCTACCTCAGTTTGCACTTAAAGGTAACACCTGAAGCTACATGACAGACACAGGCTGCAAAGGTGGACACGGGGAATCATGTCCCTCTTGCCTTGATAAATCAGTGCCACACACAGAACCCACATTTTCTGAAGCATTATCTTCGTTATAGAGCCGTTTGATTCCATCATAGAAGTCATCCACTTCCATTTCCTCTACTTTGCGTTTAGCAGAGGTATGCTTGCACCCACCGGCAGCTGGGAGATGATGACAGAAGGCTGCTGTACCTCTGACTGGCACTTCTGGTTTGCTGTTGTCCTTGGAGAAATCTGGGCCTGGGACAGAGGAGGGATGTAATCTGAACACTCCTTTGTCACAGGTCACCAGGGTGTGCTTGAGGGGACGGTAGACATAAACGGAATTTAGAGGCAGGGAAGACTGCAGAGTAGAAAGGTGATGTGCCACAAGCTCCCGACAGTGGATCAACTGGGAGCTATCCATCTGAGCCAGAGGGAAAAAAGTTGATAATTTAATTAATATAGGCTGCTCTGTTGTCTTTGCTGGCCACTTTTCCTCCCTATGCCCTTTGCAACCCCAGGTTTCTTTTCTCACCCAATTACCTTCTACCTCAAACTCATTTAATCCTCCAGCCTACCTACCCATCATCTTAGGAATTATGGCCAAATCTGTATTTCTAATATAAATCTCTTTAGAACTTAAATTCTGTATGTGTAATTGTATGCTGAACATCTTCATGAAAGCAGAAACTATTCTCTTGTTCTATGCTATATATCCAACATTTGCTTTAATTAGTTCAGTCTATTCCCTCTGCATAGGACTTTCACCCCACATTCTTTGCCTCTTATAATCTCTTCAGTGAAGACCAAAGGTACAGATAAACACGAAATTCATTAAGAATTTTACTTTTTAAGAATTATTATTATTTATGCCTACAGCACCTGGTCTTCCTAGGTGGCCTCCCATCCAAGTACTAATCAGGCCTGACCCCGCTTAGCTTCCGAGATCAGACATCGGGCTTGTTCAGGGTGGCATGGCCATAGACCATGGACCATGGCTCCACTGGGGCGCGAACCCAAGACCTACTGCGTGTAAAGCAGACATGCTAACTGCTACACTATGGAACCACGTCCTTTATTAAGAATTTAAGGAAGAAACCAAAGGCAAGCAAAATTTTAAATAAGGGATGGGGAAGGCTGTCTGGCCTTTAGAATAATTTAAGTATTTGTTTTTAAAACAGTAAATGAGAACTTTTGATAAGACATATTTTTGTAGAAAATAGCAGGCCTGACAACACTAGGAAGAATGTTTAACGTGGAGGTTAGACTAATTCCTTCCTATCCTTTAGGACAGTTCAGGTATCTATCCTTTCTGAAGCCACTCTTGACTCCTCCCAGCCTTATACACACCCAAAGTCCAGGGTCATATGTTTCTATATCAACCTGTCATCAAACTGAACCACACTCTATTAGAATAATGATTGTAACCATTTAGCTTCTGCATTATAGATCACAAGATCCCAAGAGGTAGGCATTAAATCATATTCATTGTTATTCCTTAAGTTTCTAGCATAATGATTACACATGGAAGGCCTTTAAAATCTTACCTTGGTAAAAAAGTCTAAGTAGTCTCTCTGCTCTCCTCTCCCTATAATTATAGCTGCCATTAAAATAATCTTACTCTAACAACATATTTCTCCCCTATTCAAATTTCTTTAGTGGTACCACAATGCCTACTAGCAATAAGCTAACCTCTTTAACTTGATAATAAGGCTCTCCACAATCTGACTCAACCTTTGTTTCTAGCCATATTTCCTAGCACATCCCGATTTGTGCTCTACATTCTTGCCAAAGGGGCCTGCTCACTATTCTGTATAAATCTTGCCCTTTCTTACTTTACCCTTGCTCACCCTGTTTCTACTTACTGAAATTGTATTACCTATTCCTTTCAGGTCTGGCTAACTGCCACCACAGTCCAGGAAGCCTATCTTGACTATCACTTTCTATTCTTGAGTACTTCATAAGCATTTTTGGATATTTCTTAATAAAGTCTTATTCATACCTATATAACCTGTAGCACACAGCATAACTATCTGCAATACCACAGAGAAAATAAATGAAAATAACATGCTCTTCACATTTTGTCACAAAATTAGTTTTAGCTCTAAATATATTAATTACTTGTTACCAGGAAAACAGTGGAACAAAAGCACACTGAAGAGGGATGGGGCTTCAAAGTTCTTTAAGGTGATTGATACCCTAAGCCAGTACTTCTAGAAGCCTACAAAAGAGAGGTAACGGACAGAAATCCCTAAGCCAGTACTTCCAGAAGCCTACAAAAGAGAGGTAATAGACAGAAATTGGGAAGTGAAAAGAAAGGTGGTATTTTAGGCCACTGAAGTCTATTAAAATTATTTCTAAAAAGTACCTAGTTTAATGAAGTGTTCTTTAGCAAATGAATGATACTTGGTGGCCTAGAAAAGTAAAAATACCACAAATATTCTAATGCCTTGGTCATCAGGCATAATACCACAGGAGAATCCTGAAAAAAAAAAAAAAAAAAGACATGTATTTCATGTAAAAGACTATTTATGTCACTATAATCTTTCTCTGTGGAAAAAAAAATATGTATATATTTTAGAGATGAGAACTAGCAGAAAATGATAAAAGCCAGAAAGACATTGGAGATTAAACACTGAAAGTTTATAACACAGACACCAAAATAGGTTATTGATGGGAAGCAAGATATAAGTAGTAAGTTCAGATGGACCCAGGTTCACTGGACAATATGAAGCCCTGAAAAAACCTACCATAGTAGTCTGACATTAGACACTTTCAAGAAGAACTGTGAGACCCTGGTGAGGAGGGTTTGCTTCTTTAACTCCCTACTCTACTTTTAAACTACACCACAGCAGGGAATATCTACTTCGACTACTGCCTGGCTAGTGACCAAGGAGACCACTACACTAATTTAGGTAGAGTTAACATCCTAGGATTATCAAGGTGGGCCACATCAAAGAGGAAGACATGAGTACAGTCTCAGAAGTAGAGCAAGTAGGGGTAGGGGTAAAAAGAGAAAAAGGGTTAGCCATCCCAGAGTGGTGACCAACAGGTAGCACCACAGCTAATAGGGGTAGGGAGTGGGAGGAACAAAGAGGGACAAGAGGAAGCTTGCCTTTGAAACCAAGGAGCACTCACTATACTTTGAAGTCCAGAGGGAACATTGGCAGAGCTAGTGATAGTGGCCCCCTTGCAGCATGTCTGTGATGGACCAACCACTGGCAATCCTCTCAAACCAGAACACTGGGAAACATGTCAGAATTAATTCTGGCATGTCGGACCAATCTGACACAAGATTTCCTATACCAGTATCAGAAATCCAGAAGGAATATCTGATATTACTATGGCCTTGTCACAGGTCAAATTACAAAGATATCAGACCTGGTGTTCCTATCTAAACATGGGTGAACTTAACAAGACAGAACTGAGTCTTGAAGAATCAGAAGTCACCAGGTTTGGGCCACAGGGTTGGCCACCAGTCCAAGTTGGTTTTAGAGAACTGCTAAGACCAAATCCCCAAATCTCGGAAGTTTTGTGAACTTACTTGTTTTTAACTATTTCTCCCACTATAACCTAAATACTACATGGGGCAGATCACTGTAATCTCAGTGCCTAAATCATAGATTTCTCAATAAATGTTTATGGAATTCAACTATTTATATATTACAAAATAGAATACTGGTTTTCAAACTATGTTCAAACAGCTGACGGAAAGGAAGAGGCCATGCTGACTAGGACTATGTACTCAATAGCTCTCTGCCCCAAACACAGTTACTAAGTAATACTTGTCTACTTTGTATTCTGGGATTATGTGTGTACAAGATTTTGTTGGGGTTGAAGGAAGGGTTTCAGTTCTAAAAGAAACTGTGAAAACCACTGGACTAGAATTTTTAAGATTTGTGTAGTATGGAAAAGGCACTGGTTCTTTTTTGTCTTCTTTACTACTAAGTAGTCCTATGTGTTTCTGAGAAAGTCCCAAGTTCCCTGAGCTGTAGGTATAAAATAAAGGAGTTGAATGAAATTATTTCTAAGATTCCTTCAAACTCCAAGTTTATAATACTTCTTCAGTAATAGGGGAAACAAGTTTCAGTAAACTTTCTTCTTCTAGCACCAGAAGATTTATGAATGAGACGAAGCAGATTCTCAAAGCCCTCGAAGCTACAAAACACACATGCCATTTACAACATTTTATTATTTATACTTCACAGTCTGTCCTTTTTATGTGATAATAGTACCTTCATATAGCAAATTTCTGTATACTAGCTTAGAAATAGGCACAGGGACAAAGTCAGGAGGCATTTAGAGAGATATCATCTGTTCCAACGAAAAAAAAAGAAAGCCATAATGTAGGAGGTTTTCTATTAACGTTCCTTGCCCCACACTTCCACGGTCTAATGTAATGTAATGATTAATATCAACTTCATTTTCCAACACTCTAGGTAAGCAAAATAAATTTGGTGGTTTATGATACTTTCTAAAAATTCTCACTAAATAGCAACTATCTCATAGGATTTATTTTCATTACAGCATTTATTATTTTGATAATTTATCTGAATTATTTCAATCTAAGATACACTATTAAAAGAAAATATCTCCCTTGTAAAGGAGAAACAGCTTGTGTTACACTAACGTCCTATGTTCTAGGGATGTAGAACGAGGTGAGCCATGTTAAAAACAATGGAACAAAACACACAGAAGAGGGATGGTGCTCTAATATGTTGCTATGATCATTATCCTTTTTATAAAAAGATTTTCAACCCTACTTTGCTCACAAAGTAGAGCTTGAAATTCTCAGAGCTGAGAGATAGTATTAAGTAAAGGTACTTCTTATATGTCTGCTAACTTTCATAGCTTACATCTGTAAGATCATTAATTATATCTACTAAACATCACATTCAAGTATTAGTCTGTTTCTCTTTTCTAGTGTTCTTTTATAAGTTTTATAAATCCAATAACTGCAACTCTGTTAATATTGGTTCTTTTTATATTACAAAATGTTTTGAAGCTCAGAATTTAGGCCTCTTCTGTAAAATCCAATTAAACAAATCAGAAAAACTACTGCCAGATGAGAATAAATGGAGACATATACAGGGAAAGTTAAGTTCATAAATTTCTTATGGATTCAGTTGGCAGAGGAGTATAGTTTGCAGCAGATTTAAACTTGAGCTCTTTTTGATGAAATGAATAGAAACAATAAGAATTCTCTCAACGTAGTTGCGAACATATAGCATCATTACTAACTTTCCATTATATTTTATATATACAGTTGACAAAAATTCAAGTGACCCATAACATTTTACACCAATATGCAAATACCAGTTATGGACTAATCTCAAGCAACTAAAGGAACTACCAGGACAAAACCTTCAGAAAGATAACTTCTACTTGCCAAATTCCAATACATATACTTCACTTTCTACCCAATACTAAATTATCTGCTTGTCCAAAAAGCAATTTCTTTCAATTTATGTTTTGATCTGTTTTTATAAAATGAAGTACAGAAGTACTACTATAATGCAACCTACAAATATAGCTAGAAAGGTTCTTCATATAAAACTAAAGGAGAATATATTATGGAAAATCGTATTAATTTTTCAAGATTCTTAAAGATTTTAACTAATCTAGAAGGGTTGAAAAGAATCAAGAAAATACTACCTAAGCTTTATAAGAGAAAAAAAAAAGACTAGACCATAAATTTAAAGTATGTATTACTTTACTCTTGTCTACTCAAAAACAGTTTGCCATTACAAGATTAGAAACGTCTCAATTTTATAACCATCTGGTAACCCTATGTATCTCAAAAAGATATATTTAAAATGAACACTAATTAGACTGACACCTACCTGTGCTTTCTGAAGCAATTCAATTGTAAGAGGAAGCCAATCAGGAATGAGTTTCTCCATTTCCAAACTAACCATGGCCAGAGCAAGCATGGATCCTTTGAATTGCAGAAGTTCGTTACAGGCCATACAATGAAGTAGCTGCTTGGTTAGGAGTGCCAAATGTTGAGATGGGCTCAGTTTGGGCAAATTGAAAAGTAACTGAGGCCTAATTGACACTGTAATGGCATGGAACTGGAAAAAAAAAGTCAAGATCATTCTGGTTTTATTTAAATGTCTAGGTAAATTATATTCAGAAATTGATGTAACCTCAGGTATTACTCAATTTTTAAGTTTGCAATTTTAGCTTCAGTGACTTGACATATATCTTAATTCCTAATTTTCCCTTGGCTAACTGCAATAATTTCCCTTTTCCTAAAAATCAGAACAAAACAAATAAGCAGGCAATCTACTTTTCAAGTTATTGAAATAGGACTACATAGTCAAATAAGAAACTAAAACACTTTAGGTATATTTACAATGTGAAGAAAATCCAATGGTGTGGCTGTGTGAAGGTCCCAATTCAACTTATCCAGAATAATTCTCTCCATCCTCAGAATTTCAGATGAAGAACATCCACAGAAACTGTCTCTTGCCAACACCTTCAGTATTGGAATTCTCTATCCATAGCAAAGGGGAATGGGACAGGGATGACAGAAAAAAATAAACTCATTACCAATTTTTGTTTTGGTAAACAAAATCAAGTTAATAAATGGAGAGAAACTTTCAAAAAAGAGACATAACTAATCTTTAAAGGAAAATATTTACCTCGTCTTCCTCAACAGTCTTGGCAGCTAGGAAAAAACAGCTGATTGCAATACAACTCAAGTATTTTGGGTGGGCCTAAAATTTTGAAGAGGGAAAAAAAGCAACTTCAATGATCCTTCAAAAAGTTGAGTTTATTTTTAAAAAACTAAATATGCAGATGAGACAAGTACTCTTACATTCGATGGAATTAATCTGATTCCCACCCATTGCTAAGATCAGAGCTAACTTTTAACTTTACAACCCTAGCCCTATGATATTCTATGAAAATACTAAGATCATTCCATTGCTGGAAGTTCAACCAATGCTAGTTAGCCAAAGTCCATTTCTATCCAGCAGAGAAGAGCTTGATTTTAGAAGACAATTTTCAATTTAATAAATAAAATACCCCAAATAAAAAATAAACATTTGTGTGTGTGTATTTTTTATACTAGTTTTATTCTCTTTACCTATCATATCAGTAAGATTAACATAGTAGGTGCTAGGAGGAATTAAAGAATATAAAAAGAAGGCTATTAATGTATTTCAAACACTTTAAAAATTTATAGGATGATAGATGAGTAAAAATTTTCTAATTAGTAAGTGTCCACACACAAAAAATTACATATTCAAGTTCCAATGTAAGAACAAAATGCTCCTAAATATACGCAGAGTTAGTGAAGAAAAAAGTTCTGGAGTTTGACATTCACAGGATGGTCTGAATTTGCCTGTTTTTCTTGTCTATACTAAGGCTGGCCCACTTTCTACCTTATCAATAGATTAAAGGTTTGCCAATCCAGCATCAGAATCCAGTCTTAAATAATCAGAACAATTTAGTCCAATTATATTGCATGACGCAAGAGTAAGTTATATAACAAAAAGAAAACCTGTTTCAGCATGTATTTTATACTTAATGTTACATTCATTCCCATAAAACCAGGGAAGCCTCTTGATGACCAGAATACAGCCTTGATTAATTACCTTATTTAATAAACATGCCAATGACCAGTACAGGTGGCATACTGTCTAGGAATCTTAAAATCCTCTGCCTGTATGAGATAATAAAAGCTGGTTCAATACTATCAATATTTTAAAAAATTAATACTAATAAAAATATTACAGTATAGAAAATACTTCTATAAATACTGTCATGTCTATTACGCCTTCTTTTTACAGATGAGAAAATAGTCTCCGAGGTTAAGGGACACCACACAAGTAATCAAGGAAGTGAGTCAGATCTTGTTGCTAAGATAAGATAGTTTTCTAGGCTCCCTTATTTCCCCATATATACAACATATCAAACTCACATCCTGGATGTAATCGGAGTTCATTACAAAGAAAAGAACCCAACAGTTAATAACTTTAATAATAAACTCATTATAAAAAGAATCCCAACAGCAAATGTGTAATTTTTTAAAAAAACAAATAGTAGTTCTCAGTCCTGGATGTATATCAGGATGTATTCTTTAAATACAAACATCCAGATCTCACCTACGAGAGGTTCAGATTCGGTAGGTCTGGGATAGGTAGGGCTCAGGGTCCACACTTTGAAGAGCTTCACAGCACTTTATTCTGCACAGCTAGGAGTGAGGCTCCATTCATTGCTGCAGCCCTTTTATGGTCCTCTTCAAGTGACTTTATTTAAACTATGAATACATTTTAGATAGTTTCAATATAGACTAACCATCTCTAAGTATCTGATGCCAATAATATAACAGGACCCATTAAATAAGAAATATGAAAAAAGAGATATTTAGCAAAATTCTCTAATTGTTTCAGAAACTTGCCCAAATCTGTTTAAAATGTTTAATATCAGTAATATTTTCTGATAGAAACTACAATAAACTCATTAATAATTTTTGAAGAATATATAGCCGATAAAAGGATACTGACTTTAAATGCCTCTTTATCTTTCTCTGTGAAAGGAAAGTTGGCTGTATTAGGGGGCTAGGGAAAAGGGATGCGGAATTTGATACTGAGATTAAAATAGGCATCTCAGATAACACAGATTTCAGGCAATTATTGTCATAATTAAGGGTTCTTTAAGTCTCTTAAGAGTAAAAAGTTTGAAACATAAAAAGGTAACTGAATAGCCATATTCTATGGCTTCTATTTTTTTATACCCAGTAACAAAGAGTATAGTCCCCTCAGCGCTAAATTCAAAGTTGCCCCAGCTTACACATTCCTAGGCATACAAATAACAACAAGTGAATTGCTTTTCTACTTTTTTATGCCTTGCCATTAAATAAATACTAACTTTCAGCTTCAAATCTGTTGAGGACCTACTATGACTCATTTCACATAATATAACCAATGATATACCAACAGGGACAATATAAAATTAATTCATATATCTGTATACTGCCATTTAACAAAAACACACTAGTTATTTTATGACAGTTCAGTTCATGTTATTATGCTCCAAATGTATACCTCTAGAAAGTATTTATATTAATTGTTCAGAAAATCACAATATTCAATAGAGAAATGTGCAATAGGCTTATACTTTTCTAGTCTGACTCACTCTCCACCTCTAGTACACCAATGTATTAAAAGATGACTAAACATTCTGCCAATGCTATATGATTTATATATATCAGATCAAAAATTTCACAGGTTAAGTATAAATTACAATACTTGTAGCAAAAAAAAAAAATTACAGAATACAATTAGAAACATTTCAGAAGATTTAAAGCAGACGACATCATGTCTTCTTATAGGTACATGTATCATGTCCACAATGGTTTTCCATTCCTTTCTATCCTACAGAATGTTTATCAGTGGCCCCTAGTTTAGCATATACCTTCAAACAAAAGGTTGTGTTTAAGTGTATCTCAAAATATTTACCTTTACAGTAGCTAAAAACCTGTCCAAAAGACTGCTAGCCAGAGCAAATGTTTCTGGGTAAAGGTTGAATTGGTACTTGAGTTTGGCCAGCCACTGAATCACTTCATCTCTCTGGGATGGAGAAACATTCTACAAGGGAACAATTAAAAGATAAAATTAAAAGAGAACAAGTTAAGTTTCAAGTTATCATCAAGAATATGTCTAGGCTTCTCTCTTATAAAAGGTTTGCAAATGCTATGGAATATGTATTTACATTTTTTAAAATGTTTTTTAAGTTTATTCAAATCTATCAAATGAGATAAACGAAGATAAGACTTTATGTATTGGTTATAGCATTTAATATCAATATCCAATACTGTCGTTCTTTATTAAAATCTTCGCTGTTATCTCGCCATCAATCTACACTTTGAGGTGTTCAGGGAAAACATTTTAAAGTTTAGGTAACATGGTTATCAACTGATAGTAATTTTGGAATTAAGTTTTCCTAATTCTTGAGAACAAGAAAGTATAATGAAGTTCTAAGGCAGCAAATAGCCGTTAAACAACCTTAGGAAATATAGAATATGATAACATAATGAAAGCCTATTAAAAACAAAACTAAAGTCAACAGGAATAAATGAAAGATATTGACAAATTACACATTTAAAGATGATAAAAGAATACCGAAGGGGAAATTCACCTGAATTAACTTACCACCTGAGAGATTATTACACAAAACGTTATTGTTGTTTTAATCTTCCTACAGATTATTTTTAACTGCTTAGTATAGGCTTAATCTTTACAAAATACACAGTTTAAAGCAATAATGATTTAAATACCCTTACTCTTGAGTTTTGCAGGCACCATAAAAATAAAACAAAACAAACCAATACTTAATTTACTAATAATAAATGAAACAGATCCTTAAGCACAACTTCTGTCAGCTAAACACAAGTACAGAAATGACTCCATGATGAATAGAAGAGTATTTGCAGTGAGAGCCTAAACAAAATTTCAACAAGCTGTACTCATAACCATTTTTTATGGAAAACTCAAAATAATATTACTTATCTTATTCCTTAGAAAGTAGAGACTTTAGCTTAAACCTTTTTTCCTGATCAGTCAGGGTCAACTTTATGAAATTAGTTCCTATCCCAGAGAGGGCATTAAGAGCTATTAAGCATGAAGGGCTGTCTGTGTATCTTGACAATGTATCTCCCCAAACAGGTATTTCAGTTGGAGTTTCTTCTCTCCTTTTGGATTTCTTTAGTGTTGTGAGGAAGCCAGGACTTGGTGCTCATTAAAACCTTTGCCATTCCATTGGTTAATTTCTCTTCTCTTATTTTATTCCAACTCTTTGGCACAACCTAGTAAAGTATTTCTTTATAATCACACATAATTTTTACATCTAGCTCTAAACTCAGTTATAACTGATATTTTATAGGTTATCTGCCATACATCCACCTTCTGGTCAATTCCTTTTGTCAAACAAAGACTGACCTTAGAAACACTGACAGGAAAATAAAATAAAGATGGTTTACAACCTCTTATATTAATATCTTACCATAGAACTAGTGTTAAGACTGTGAATAATCTGAAAACTTTGGACAATCAACATTTTAACTCAATTCATACTGACAAATATTAAGTGTCTATCTTATAACATGTCCTGGGAATACAATGATGAATGAAAACTCCATTTAAACTTCGAAACTTAAAAGTCTCATGGTGAGGCAATAATCCAAAAATGTGAAGGAAACTACGGTAAATATTAAAACAGAGATATTCACTGGGTGCTAAGGGTACACACTGGAAGGGCACCTGAGACAGCAACTAACCTGTATCTTAAAAGTAAAAAAGCGAGGGGATCGAATGATCATTTGCAAGGCAAGGAAAGGGGTCACATTTTTTTAGCCTGTGAACTTTAATTCTAAAGTATAGAAATGATGTCCACCTGAAGGCAATAATAACCTATTGGTAAGCTCCTCTGACTTCCAACTAAAATTGAGGCAGGTGGAAGGTGGAAAAGAGTGCTAGAAACGATATTCTGAGATTCAGGGATACGATTCCATGAACCAAAAAGAAAACATAAAGCAGTTCATGGGACTGAAGCTGTAGGCTTAACAGGTTCAGGGAACATAGAGTAGCAGGGAAATTATGTGCTGCAGAGACTATTGTCCAACATGACAGAAGGAAGTGGAGTTAGGTCATTACAACGAGGAGCTAGATTCTCCCTCTACAAAGAAAGTCTGGAAAAGGCAGCAAAATACTACCATCTGAAGCTATGGCTTCTCTAGGAAGGAGAGAGGAAGCTGACACAGCCCTACAGCTAGGACCTACAAACATGTACTAGGTGTTAGCACCGTCATTGGTTCTACAATATCCCATTTTCCACAGAGCCCTCAGGTGCTTGCTACTTTAAGATCTCATTCTTGACTATGGGGTCCCTAAAGGGTCCCTGGGAACAAAATTTCTAGATTGAGAGGATTAAGCATTCATCTTGGTAAATTCCTAACCACGATGAGTTATCATCTAAAATGCCGAAACTACTAAGAAAAGTAATGTTAACAAAGCCATCCCAACAAATCAATGATAAGGAAATAAATTCACACAAAGAGGTAGACAGTGATATAATCTAATGAAACTGGAGAGGCTTTTAGAGAGGCAATAAAACAATGATAGAGAGCAGCAACAAGGAACAAGAACACCATTAATTCCACCTTTATGTCAGAGATACAATGGGAGTATAGGAGAATAAACAACCCTAAATGACAGATATTACATAATGTGACTATTTGGTGTTTGGATTTAAACAAATAGCATAAACATGTAATTGTAAGAAGTGCCACAAAAGATGGACAAAATGTGCTATAAGTGTATAACACAAGGGAACAAAGTTATACAGAGATTTCCATATCATAATTATAACTACGAGTTACAACTAAATGTTTGCTCCTACAAAAGACACTCAATATCAGTTTTGTCCTTTCCCTCCTCTAAAAATACCTGATGCCAGAAAAATTTATATTACATATAAACAATTCTTTTAAACCAATTAATAGTCAGTTATGAAAGAGACATGACAGTATCTTTGAACTTTAATATACCTTATGTTAAAGAACAGAACCAAGAAAGCATTTCTGCATGGCTAGTACTATCACCACTAGCCCTAACTAATAACCAAAAAAAAAAAAAAGAAAAACCCATACAAAAGCATTTCATAGTTTGAGAAGATGCCTTCTTAGTAAAGTATAACAATTCTAATACCACTTTTCAAACCAATTCAAACATGCACTAAATTAAAATAAATATTATCAGGATAGATTTATGAAAGTTAAATTTTGTGCCTAAGTACTTCAAGGGAGAGAGGGAGGCCAGCTGGCCTACCTGCCCACCTGTTCACACCAGATAGTACTTCCTGATCAAGAGATCTGTTTTCTCTTATACGGATTGCTTAGAGTTAAGAGGGTTCATTAAGTTGGCTGAACAACTAACTATACCCAAAGAAAACTAATTTAACATGGTAAAAACAAAGGGCTTTATATCCTACATGCTACTATTCTGACCATTAAAAGACAAATCATACCTAACTTTAAAATATATTCACCATTACCTGAAAGATTAAGTACAATCCCCCAGGCATGGCATATAAATCCCTCTGCGACCTAACTCTACAGCCTAACTCACCTTCCATCACTTTCAGCCTTAAAATCCATACTGTAAGAGTAGTACTTGTATTTCTGGTTCTTCTTTGCTCCTGCCATGCTATTTTACATCACTATTCCTTTGCTCATACTGTTCCCTCTGGTTGGAACACACTCCCGCCTCTCTTTTACCTGCCTTATGATTTATCTTTCACTATTTCAATGGCCACTCACCACCAGATACTTTTCCTGGCAACTCAAGTTAGGCTGGTACCTTCCTTGTGTTCCCGCAGATCTCGTCACACCTGTGAAGTTCAACTTTTTTTTCTTAAATTACATTTGTGCTTTTGGCTATGATGGAGTATGTAGCACCAAACCTATATTCCAGTTGAGAACAACTAGAATAACTATTAACAACAACAAAAACCTATTTTAAAGGCACTAGAACTGCTAGACAATTAGGCCTTAAGGAGCCAAGACTCTGGAGAAGAGGTAACATGAAGAGAGGAGTCAATATTCCGCAGTTTTTCCTTCACGGCCTGTGACCAGGGCAAGAGGCTGAATATGGGCAAAGAAACCAACAGGGCTTCTGGGAGTCTTATAAGGCTAGCTAGGCTGAGATAAAATTTGGAGACTTAAGGAGCCAAGAACCTAATGGGGAGGAGGAGAGCCAGAAATCTGAATGTGACACTCAGCTATTTTCCCCTTAATTCTTAAGTTGGGAAGGAAAAGGATCAACAAGGATCTAAGGAGCTAAGCAGAAAACCTCTGAAAAGCAAGAATGAGTTCAGGGGAGAGTTCAGCATCCTTAAGGAATAAGGGGGCCTAGTGAACACTTCAAGCTTTCAACTGGAATCCTTGGCTACATACACTCTAGGAGTTGGGGCAAACCAAAGGTAGATGAAACCATACCCAACTCCACCCCAGCCTCCAATCAGCATAGTCCCTCAATGGATTAAAGAGATTAATTTCCTACTCTGCCCACTAAAGACTGAACCCCCTAGCAGAAAGAGAACATCTAGAGCCTCTACGATTTTTCATGTCCAGCAGCCAATCACAAATTACCAGTCATAACAAGAGAAAAAAAAAACCCAGTGACCCAAACCAAGAGAAAAAAGAGGATTTTGCATTATCAGAAAAAGACTTAATATACAAGAAAATAGAGTAAAAGAAAGATAAAAAGATTGCTCCAGTGGCCAGAAGTAAAACCAATCCAAGTGGCCACTAGAAAGAACAGTTTTAATGTTCAACTTAGGGAAAACTTTCCAATAATTTAGAGAGTTTTTCCACAGTGGAATGGACAAGTATCAAAACAGATGATCACTTATCGGAGATGTCAGAAGAATGTTTTTTATTTCGTGGTTAGACTGAATCAGTGTTTCCCAAGTCTAGCACATACTAATAAAACTACAAAGCTTTTAAAAATACAAGTTTCCACAGCTGCTATCATAAGTAGATGTGGGTGGGCCTTGGAAGCTCCTGTAAGAAGCCTCTTGGATAATTCTATTATACCTAGTAGCACAGCTGTTCAGAAATCCTGTATTTGGACATCATATATTTATATGGCCTTTAAGATTCCTTAGTTTCAAAACTCTAATGAAAGCCATCTTTACATAAATAGCCTGAGGCAAGGTTTTATCTTTGTTGATGAAAAACATCTTTGCAAAATAAATTGAGAATGTCTAAAAGTGCATGTCCCTTTGATCAGTCTTCAATTTTCTCCCCAAAACTCACATAACAAAATTATCATGTACTTGAAAGTACTATTATTATACAGAAAAAAACTTCTCTAACCTGGATGAATTATAAAGAAATGATTATGTGCATTTAATGAATGTTTCCTATGACTCTATTATATGCCAGTAAATAAAAATGACACAACCAAGAGAACTCAATCAAATCACCAAAGAATTATAATATTGTGTCGTAAGGGAAGCAGAGAACATACAGACTGGGGAGTAATAGGTCTATAATAATTTTGCATGACCACTCTGTCCTAAACTGGGGGAAGGGGAATACAAATTAAAGGAGAACTGTAAGAGAAGCTTGAAGTAAATTTAGGTGGAGGAAGAGTAAGAAAGGAGGAGGAGGAAACTGGAGGAAAGAAGCATAAAAGGTAGCTTAAAAATATTTTATTTTTCCATTTTAACCAACACTTAAAAAATTTAAAAAGTTGGAAAAGATACATGGTTTGGTTTAGAGACAAGACTGTGTTTCTCTTCTGCAAGAAATCAAGAAGGGAAATCATGGTCGGAAGGAATAGTAGAAAGGGGGGTAGAAAAGTCAGTTCCTGAGAAAGGCATAAGAAATAAAAGAATTAGAACTAGAATACATATGTGTCCTTGGTGGTTACTCTAGTAAGCTCAAGCCCCTATAGCTCTTTACTCCCATCCCTATCTTATTATCGTCTATCTCCACCATTATCTCCTAAGCCCATCTATATTTTACAAGACTTAAGTATGGCTTCTACTTGGCATTACTAAAGGTAAACCCTTAAGTAGATCTCTTTTAGAAGTTGACACTTGTTTTCTGGTAATACCTCAGTAATATTTGTTAAATTGCCTAGAGAAAGAGGCCAGATTAAGTGACAATATAGCAATATATTACAATCTTCATAGATCATCACCTTCAAAGACCACATTGTAAAATTATATCATTGTTGGTTACATGCTGACTCTGAAAGAAGAAAGGAATGGTTCTTAAGGGCAGCTGTAATAAAGTTTTGAGGCTTCCTAGAATGTCAGAACATAAGGGAAGGAATTTCCATTTTTCTCACTGTTGTATCCCCAATGCCTAGAACAGTGTATGGAATGTAGCAGATACATAATAAACATTTACTGAATGACTGAATCCCTAAGTAAACTAAAAATTGCACAAGAACACAAAAATAAAAAATGGAAAACAAAGAATAATGGGAAGAAGACTGCCTCAGGTCCAAAGTATAACTCTATTACTTATTAGTTGAAGTCTTGAGCAAATTGGGACTACTGCCTGTTTCAAAGAATTAAATGAGATATTAAATGTGATAGAATATGTAAATGCTCCTGGCATAAAAGGTATTCATTCAAGTTAACTAATCTTCAATTTGCTAAAAGACAAATAAGTAACAGTAAATGCAAAACATTTCTTGAGCTTGTGGGAAAGAATGAAAGAAGTAGGTTGGAATTAGAAAAAGCATACAGATTTCAATAGTCTATGTGCAAAGGTTAACTTAAACCAACAGAAGAGAAACTTAGATATTTGCTATTCATTCACCTACACACATAAAAAATTTCTTGGCCACTATTCTTTATCCCAAGAATAGTGCTAGGTACTAGTAATTTAAAAAAATGTGTAGAACAGCTTTTGGTGTGAACAAAACTTCAAAATTATCTGTAAAAACTAACTGATATGATAGAAGTATAAAAATTTCTAAAAGAAAAGGCATATAACCAACAGTAATTGATAGGTCAGATGGCTATCTCCCTAGAATCTTCCAACAATGGCATTACCTTAGTAGTTCACTTGAACTCCTTATAAATATTCAAGAAAGATAGGGCAATTTGTTGTTCTCTATGTTCAGCTTCCATGACTATCTATCTAGAAATAAAGGTGGCTTACATTAGTATTGAACTATGAGGAAAGAAAACACACATACCTACCTTCCTAAAGCAGTAACTCAGATAACAACAAAACAAACAGGCAAACAAAAACAGTTCATTCTTGTTTTGTTTCAGAATAAAACAAGATGCTTCTCAATTAAAGAACAGAGCATATCGTTTAACAGTATATGCATGTCAAGGTATGACAACAGTACATTTATTTCTAATAAAAGCCATCTATATAGAGTGAAGAGAAAAATTACCTGATTTGTAGGCATTTTCGGCACATTTACCTTCCACATCTGGGCTTCCCTAGAGATTGCCTTTTCCAACAGGAAAGACAATCTCTGGTTTTCCAAAGGCCCTGGAAACTTCATGATATCCTTTGGATCTGCCTGCCTCCCAGCTTGATGTAGCTACCTATAAAATCAAATATAAAACAATACTCTTTACTTAATTACAGAGTAAGTATAGCATTGTATAAATATATTGGTTCTTAAGCAATTCATAAAACAAGTAAGGAAGTTATGAGGCAGTATGGGATTTTATAGTTCTTTAAAATGTCATATATTAAAATGTTACAATAAGTTATCTGAAACATTCTCACTTTAAATTTGAAACTCAGTTATAAAGAAAATAAAAACACGGCCATATAATTAACAGAACATTTAGACTCTGATCAAAACATACTATTATTGTGTCAAAAAATTTAAGTCATGAGTTTTTTATACTAGGAATTCTTAAAAGTTGTCCCAAATATTCCCCTTAAAAATCTAATCAGATAAGGGCCGCTAATCTTTTTCGTTAAATTACATTAATCACATTAAATCCCACCCATTCCTACTTAATCAGTCTGATACCATCCCCTTAAGTATGAAACCATCTTTTTAAAATTTTCAAACAATTAGTGCAATAGGGCAAGTTACTTGAAAATAAGATCCTAAATAACAAGAGTAAGAGGTCAGAACTGAGAGTAGTTAACCTCCAGGAAGTGAAGAAGCCCTGCAGCAGGGAAATGCTGCTTTTCATTGTAAACCTCACATAACTATTTCACTTTCTCAACTATGTACCTGTATTACCTGTGTGCTTCAGATTCATGGGTTTAAAAAAAATTAATATCTGGAATTAACACATGGGAAGTTCCAAACTTGTGATAAAATTTGAAAATTTGAAAAAAAAAAAACCTCTTCTTCAATTTCCACATTCCTACCCAACTCTCTATTAATTGCTTCACATACTTCACCTACTTGCTACTCAATCTACTGCAGACTCTCTCTAGTTAACTGCATTGTGATTTTTTTTTAAACTTCTGAGTTTTTGCAAATTTTCTATAATGAGCATGAAGTATCTTTCATACCAAGAAAAAGGTAAATAATTTAAGAAGGAAAAGAAATAAAACTACCCTGAAAGGCCTATTACAAAGGTAATTTCTTCTGAGAACTCTTGATTCTCTAATCTGGTGATTTCTCTCCCTGACTGCAGCTTCCAAGTATCTCACCTACTAAATTATAAACTCCTTTGTGGTCACATCTATCAACATCATCTTTTTATCACTCACTGTGGTCACAGTACTACTAGTATCCTAATGAAACAGGAACTCAACCAAAGATTCCTTTCAACATTTGGGGCCTAAAACAAAAACAACCAAAACAGAACAAAACAAAACAAATCCAAGTCTAATTTCTCTTTAGCAAGACAATCCTTCAAATGTTTGAAGGCTACTAAAAATAGCACCAATTCAATTCCTCTTTCCCATAGCTGAAAAACTGTTCCAGAGTTTTGGCTCTTCTAAATTAGCACCAGTTTAACTATTAATGGAGTCTAAGATCATTAGTTTTTTTTTTTTTTTTGGAGGCCACACTACAGTATCAATTTAGACAGTATTTATGGTCAACTAAAACTCTTAAAAGTCTTTCTAAGATACACTCTTAAACTCCCCCTTCACCTGCCCTACACAATTGTGTGAGGGGTTTTGGGCTTTTTTTT